CTTCTTTTCTTAGTTCCCTATGCTAAAGATTGAAAGATTTCATTTGTATTCGATATCATATGTTCGATAGCAAACTTATCTAAAACTTTGTGAATATAGTGTTAAACTTTTTTATTATTACTTTTCATAATCTTCTCGAAATTTCCCTGTCTTTGGGTTGGGATATGTGCAAATAAATGTGAATATTAAGTACTACCTTAAGCAATTGTGAATTTAGTACTACGAAGATAATATTATGTTTTGCATGCTAAACTTCTTAAACAATTCTTATTCCAAAGCAGAAAAGTGAAGAATTAATTGAAAATTCAACCCCAGCATCCTGAGCAAGACCGCTGCCATGTCGCTCGGATCTCGGATGTCTGTATGTTTTGTTTCTTTCTCCACGTAACTAAACAGGATTCTTTTGAAAATTTTGTTTGACTCTGAATGGGTATCTAGTTTCCTTGTACGGAGAGAGGGGAGCAGGATTGTAAAGATATTTTGGTGGTCTTCTCCAATAACACGCAACACGTTTCTACAGCGAGTAAATTTTAAAACAGTTTTTAAAATGGTTGAGCAGAATACAACAAGTAGTCAGAATCATTAATATTTGGAAGGTACTCTTTAGGCAGTTAGTCAAAGTGACATAAAAACAATTGAACAAATACCATCAGCTTATCCTTTCTAGCCGGATCTTCATTATTATTTTTACATATTTGATTGACAGTGGCTTTTAATAACATAATCCGTTTTACAAAATAGAAACTATCGGTTATTTTAAAAACTCTCAAATAGATGTCTAGATAGACAGAACATTCATGAACACACAACTCTTTTAAATAATGACCTCATTCATTGATACTTGTCGAAAAAGACAAACAGCTTAAGTTTCTCGATGAAATAACGATTTCGACTTTAAGAAACCGTTGAATGAATTAGTTAGGAAACGGTTAATGAAATATGGCGAATTCAAATTAGAGGCTAAGTAGCACGAGACACTACTAAACTTTGGTCAATAACAGCACAGTTGCATTAAGTAAACAGTGGTGTCGATTCTGGCATGATTTTCTAAACCTAAACTTAAATTTGACAACAGTGCGTCATTCTCTATACAGAATGAAAAGGAGAGACTGATATTAAATTTAGTTTTAAGTTTAGAGAATCATGCCAGAATCGACACCAGTATTCCGTCTTCTATAAGGCGAAATAACTTACTTCCTTCCAAATCCATCCCAAATCTTTGTGAAATTCAAAGGTTGATACAGTTGGTAGTGTTATTAAGAAAAAGGAATTAAGTAAACGCAGGTTAATTTCATAAAGTTTTTGATAGAAGGGATTAACATAGTTTTTCTCGGGATGGGTGTGTGCAGGTGCGTGTCACACTACTGTAGAAAAGTATTTTTAATAATAATGATCGGTAATACTATAATAATAATAATATGGCACCGGTAGAGATATTGTGTTAAAATTCAGCGATTTTATATTTATTTATTATGAAGACGACATCTATTAGGTGGATATCAGAATTGGATGCGTAATATTGTATTCTATAAAAATAATTTGTTTTGATTGTTCTATAGAATTGCATGTATTCTTGCGCGTATGTAATTACCAAAAATGAAATTAATGAATAAATACATTAGTAATGACGATTTCATTTAGACTAGACGAGTTTCTCTTATTATTAGTTTTTGTTGCGATACAACAAAAAGCGGACTTATTGCGAAAAAGGCAATATCAGTAGTCCAATATCACCTTTGAATTATTTCTATTGTAAGTGTTAACGTTTAACCTTGATTCTAAATATGTTAATAATATGTGAATGCAATTCAGAACTTTTGTGCGTGTGTGTACTTTATCCACCTACCAAAAGAAAAGTGCAGTGATGTATGGGGCCGAATGTCACAAAAGTAGTAAAAATATGGAAGTGGGACATTTTGTGGCATGCTGGAATTTATATTAGACCCACTTGCGTAGTTTTTACCATCTATACAAAATACAGCTTCATCGATTGCGGCTTTGCTTCGAACGTTTACCTATCAGACTGTGATTTCGAAACAATGTTATTGTTAGTAAAGACATTATTCGCTGCCGTTAAAACAATAATTTATAATTTTTTGCTAGAATACTTGGTTAAAGAGTTCGGTTTTAGGAAATATTCTGATAATTACAGGCATACATTCGGGTACAGCATTCGGTCTTTCAGACATTTCTCATTTACATTTTATTGTTTATGCCCAAATGAATGAATGGACTTTGAACTGATGTCTGAAACCCTGTTTATGCTGACATCTAGTATTTTGAGTACTTAGGAATTGTTTTTCAGAAATAACATTATAGTTTAGATAGAGGTATGTTAACATGACTAGATTTTACTATATTTTGCAGTTGAAATTATCAGTATTGAATCGGAGTTATTAAAAAAAAATCAAAAATGCAATGGTAAATTAATATTTATATTTTCTAATAATAATGAAATAAAGCACTCACCTTCAATGTTTCGGCACTCCTCTTTGAATGAAAACCGCTAACTTTTAAAACACAAACGGTAGTTCGAACACAGCACTGATTCTTTAACTAAGTGATTATATTTAATTTACTTCGATTTAACCAGTTTCTGATCACCATAGATATCAAACAGACATTACTGGATAAAAATCTAAAAGGTTCACCGAATGAGAAAAAAAAATAAAGTTCAACAGTCTCGATGGAATGCATGCATTTCGAGTCAACGATACACCGAACGGTCAAAATATTATATGAAGATTGTAAGAGAACTTGATTGAATTCACTGCACAGTTTTGTTTGAGTGGATGTAAAGTACGATGTTTAACACACAAAGGTTTTGAAAGTTATGATTTCATCGTTGTTAGCTGTCACTTGACGCGAGTAACACCGAGCGCGTCCGTGCGCCACCACCTTCGAATCCAATATGGCGCCTCGGTAAGAATGAATGAAGTTGCTTGATGCACTGAATGAACGAATCCAACAGTTATTGGAGGGTTAAGCACGCTGGTTCGCTAGATGCGGTTTTTTGTTTTATTTATGTATTATAAATATCTTTTTCTTCCTAAAACACATTAGGCAAGTACATACTTAACACTTTTGAAACAGGGAAAAGCCAAGTTTTTTTTAAGTTTTTGCTCTACATAGAGTTTCAATTTGGTAGAGTTTCTATTAAAAGTTACATCATAATGAACTACATAGAAACCTATACATAGTTGAATTGTAATGAATTCAATGGGTAGGTACCTAGTGGATCGAATGAGGTGGTTAATCAACTTTATTAGAAGTCAGTCATCGGATGGGTGAGCTTAAAGTCAGTATCTACAAATCCGCAGGTTCTTTCTAAAGAATAAGCATAGTTTATTCATTATTACGTAACAGTTTCGATGTTTTTTTTTTAATCATACAATATATAATTATGAAAAAATGCATTATGTTAGTAAATATCCATCACCAACAGAACGAAAAATCACGACGATTTTTGATCACTTCTTGACTGTTTATAGACCAGGGCCCTTAATTTTGGAGAGCAAAAAATTTCAGAACAGCTTGAAACCCACAGCAAAAGAAGAGAACACATAAAAAAAGGAGAAAAATAAATAACGGGTGATTTGAGGTTAGGAAAGGTGACATTTTAAAGGGGATTAAATGGTTTATTGCAATTATTGGGAAAAATACAACTCTTATCGTAAAAAAAAAAAATGTCAAAGTTGTGTAGGTGATGAAAGGACATCTGGCTTTTGTTTTACATATTTTTCACATAACCTTAAAATTCTGTGAAAAAAATTAAATAACCAACTTTTTAGTTTTTTATATGTATCTCAGAACTTTTTATCTTATGTGGAAAAATGAAATACAAAAGTTGTAGATCTTTTTTAATTACCTACAATTTTATTTTACTTTGACGACCTCCGCGGCCGAATGGTTTGTATCTGTGTTATTTTTTATTTATTTATTTATTCAAGAAACATGCTGACTTACAGAACTTGTTCCAATGCATCAGTAGGTTACAGTGTACGCTGAGATTCAAGGTGTCACCTACTCGAGAGGTTTCGGTTTCGAATACCATGATGTGGGGGTGTTTGTGTGATGAATACGAGTATTTGTACTCCAGTCATGGGTGTTTATATGTATTTTTATATAAATATACTTAAATTTGTATCAGTATATGTATCCTATCCGTTACCCTAGTATCTCATAACACAAGCCTTGTAGCGCTTACTTTGGGTCTAGGCTAATTAGTTTGAGTGTTGAAAATATTTATTTTTATTCATAAATTTTGCCATTGAATTTTTTTCGATGAGAGTTGTAGTTTTCCCCTAAATCCTGATGAACTGTTTTCCTTGTAAAGTCGAGAATCGTAACCACGCATTTGCATTTTCTGAGATTTGTTTCCAAGGTTATGTATATTTTTGTATACAATCGGAAAGGAGAGGTTTCAAATAACAAAAAGCGCACTAACTTTATTAAAAAACGAGTTTTTTGTATTGAAAATAAGGTAACTTATTTCTACTATTTTTTCATCAAAAATCTTAAAGCGTGTTTGGAATATAAAAACTTCCACCAAATTCGTGATAATTTGTGGGAGATAATAATGCAAAAAACCTTGATTTTTGCATAGTGTTATCTTTTAATTACCTACAATTTTTTTTTTGGAAGAGTTGTGGTTTTTCTGAAAATTGCGATTGAACTTTAAGTTTGATATTACATATCTGTTTTTATAATAAATTACTAAACAATTTGGCATTCTTTGTGCTCTGACCTACACTCTCGCGACTTGAGTCAGTCTAGTGTTCATATCCGAGCGCAACTAGTTTCGTTTTTGAGCTGGCCCTACAGAGGGAAATGCTGTGAATGCCGACTCCCGTCTTTGCCATAAAATATATACACTACGCGAACTATGAAGCGTCGGCCGCGTTGCTCTATGGTTCTAGTCAAGCGAGCGACAAAAACAGAAAAACTGCGTACACCAATAAAATAAAAACTTCTAGTCGCTCTTCAAGTCAAAAGAAAAACAAAACGAAACTTCAAATTTCAAGTCACATTTTGACATCGTGACATGAACAATCAAAACAACGTTGATTTCTAATTAAACCAAATGTTCACATAACGCATCTAAATTCAAGTGCTTTACAATACGAATTCCCAAACAAACATTCGGTCTAAATTATGAATTGAGTTTTAATTTGTGATACTTATAAAGCCTGTCCGAAAATTATTGAATCGTGAACCATGGCGTTGGATCTAGTTAGTATTGCGCAGCCCCATTACATACCTGGGTCAGTATTAAGAAAAAAATTATAAACTTGTTTTGTTAATGTGAGTCTTACAATATATTGACGACCTCCGTGGCCGAGTGGTATGTACGCCAGGTTTAAAGGTGTCGCCTACTCGAGAGGTCCCGGGTTCGATCTCGGTGGGGGCAGACGTTTGTGTGATGAATACGAGCATTTGTGCTCCAGTCATGGATGTATTTCTGTATAAAAATATTTAAATTTACATGTGTCAGTATATGTATTCTATCCGTTACCCTCTTTGAGTATCTATTAAACCTAGTATCCCATAACACAAGCCTACAGTACTTACTTTGGGGCTAGGCTAGTTGGTGTGTGTTGTAAATATATATATCTTTTTATCTTGCACAATAATATCTACTATAAACGGCGACACAGCGACATACTATAATATTTCATCTTAAGATACAAATAGTACAGATATCGGATATCAAGATAGTAAAGAGTAGCGCAGTCGGTTAAGATACGATGATATACTTATCGTCATTGTCTCAGAATCACTTCAACCATAGAGCGATATTATGCGAAATACTTATATCGTGGCGTCACTAAGCGCGTTCTATCGTCTGTACCACGGCGAGTGTTCTGAGGAGTTAATCTCTCTTATTCCACCTTCCCCTTTCCTTCAGAGGACCACGCGCGCTGGCTTACATTGTCACCTTCTAACTGTGGCTACAATTCCAACGCTTACAAAGAAATTTGGTGACTTATTTATTTTTTGTACTATCCGTAAATGCTCTGCCCGCTCACGTGTTCCCTCCCTCTTACAAATTGGGATCTTTTAAAAGAGGCATGAAGAAGCAACATGCAGGCTGGCAGGGTGAGGATGGCTGCTGTGACAGGTAGAACTGCTGTATCAGCTATTTTCGCGTCTGGACTTCACCTTCACTTAACATCAGGTGGGGTGGAGTCATTTGACGGACCTGTCTATAGAAAAACAAATCGTAGGATTATAGGATTAGTACTATAATCCTACGTATAAGTATTTCGTATTCTTACTGAAAATAAAGGTATCATAGTGTTAGTTTTTAATATCTTTTACTGAAGATGAAAATATATCTTATTTCCGATATAATGAGAGATGGTTATTAGAATTATGTGGTGAGCTAGTTAAGATTTAAGATTATCTTGAAATGAAATATTATAGTATCTTCGCCATGTGGGACGTGTCTCCCTTAACAGTGTCTAGAGGAGATCATGGCGCAGTGGTTATCGTGTTCGTACCGTGTGATATTGTGAAAAGTGGTTCACAATATCTGGTTTTGACTAGCTACCAAAAGGTAGAAAAATATGAACAATTATAAAGTTTATCTTTAACCGTTCGTGCTTTAGAAGACACGTGAAGTTGTTTCGGCTGCATCTGTAATGTTCAGCACCCGCCAAATCCGGATTGGAATCGTGTGGTGGTTGATGGCTATTTGTACCTGTTTCGTCCATAAGGTTGGCCTGTGCCCCAGCAGTAGAGACATTAATAGGCTGATGACGCCCAGCGAGCGGAACACCGAAGGCCAAAGATCGCTCTCCAACACCATCTTGTTGGGGAACATATTAAAAGCTCTTTCACATTTTTTGCAAAAAAAATTTGAGCACCTCGTTTACCCCTTTAGAAAAGATTTTGACTATTTCCAATAGAATTAAACAGTAGATTTATTCTTCCTATTGTAAGTTAATGTAGAATATTTGCAAATACTATTTTCCTTTGTTTGTACTGATCGTTCTACCGCAGCTAGCTAGTTTACGGAAAAAACGATAATATGCACAACTTCAAACGCCTAATTCTATAAATAATGTTCAATAAATTAGATCAAATTAATTACTACGACATCCGAAATATGTTTTTGTTGCAACATAATATATTAGAATTTTGATTTTGCATCTCATTAATTATCAAAAAAACATTTACCTCCGTGAGTTTTCCCAAAAAACAATGCAGGTTTACCTCGTATTTTGATATTGAATTAAATAGAATTACTATCAAAAACTTTCATAAAACTAATCTAACATCATTGAACTACTGAAATATGTATATATTTTTATAATTAGTTCATTAATAATTATTTTATAAGTCTCGAAACATCACCCTTAAAATGCAATATATGTATACTAGTGCAAATCTACCTACGCGCCGAGCAGCGGCGCAATTTTGTAAAAGGGCTCTTAAAGATTTGACCTCATCCAAATTTTTGTACAGTTGTAAGAGAGAAATTGGACAGGAACTGTTGGAAGCAGATTGGCAGCGCCAGATACAAACCTGATGCTGACCACGATCCTCAGACATGAGGGACCAACCCCAGCCCCCGTAGCATGAGCACCATTTTTTATCGCGTCTAACTGTCAAACTGCGTAGTAATTTGACATATGAGCGTGATAAAAACGCGTTATATATCATATCGCGGTGCTCATACTAAGGGGCAGAGAGAGATGTTAGAGCTGACCACTTTTCCATTCTGCCGATACACACACTATTTCGACTGCGGGATTCTTATTTTCATTCTTAGTATTTAATGACATGTAGAATTAGATACAGTTGATATGACAGAACTGCATGGAATAGGGAAATGGACTTCAAGCTGGCATATAAGGATGACACGTATGTTTATGTGTCATCTAATCTAATATGTGGTTTAAAACGATTTACTCAACCGAACGGCTTATTGGTATTTCACCTCACCAATAATAGGGATGATGGAGAGTAATTTAAACGAAATTCTATTTAGTTCGTCTCTTCGATTATCGAAAAATAATGGACACTTATTTGTTCTTTTGTTAAACAACCAAAAAATTGCATAGAATGAAGCACGTCAAAGTTTGCGGGCTCGTGGCCTCACTTCTAAGTAAAAAAAATACCGAGACGTGACTACATGCGACATATCTTATAAATATACCTCTATATCGTAATGTTTTGATTATGTGAATAAAGAAAAACACGTGGCGGTTATGGTTTTAGTAATCTACCTGATAGCTCAGATTAAATATTTAAGTCTGATAGACGAAAAGTAATTCATCATCTCTCAACTGTAGGTGTAGTAGGTATATGACCGTATATCATTGCTCTGTAAAGATCTTGGAATAAAATAATGGAATCATATTTTAATTTATCTTACATGATCGTTGTACGTCTTTTGTTAACCAACATAATGTATGATGGGCACCATATTTCATGAGGCCGAAAGCCGTAGCTGGTGGTTGCGTAAACACTGTGTTTTGGTCATCGTTATTTGTCACGTTGTCAGAAGACTCGGAGTACGCATGTTCACACACTCACTGATCTTATTGTGCGATTTCGCGCCTTTGTAACGGGCCTCTACTATACTATACCATTGGTGTCGATTCTGGCAAGATTTTCTAAGCCTAAACTTAAATTTGACAACAGTGTATCCTTGTCATTCTCTATACAGAATGAAAAGGAGAGACTGATGTTAAAAATTAGTTTTAAGTTTAGAGAATCATGCCGGAATCGACACCACTGTATACGTGAATTAAGTCAAACTTAAAAGTATGAAGGCTTATGGAAGAAATATATTACCAAAACTGAAAGAAAGAGAGGTAGGACATAGTGGATTTCGGCTTTAATTGGAGCGCCGGTTTGGGGAAGCAACTTCCACATTGCAGACAATCACAGTAAATTAACACTTATTTTGGTGGTTTTGTTTCTGTCCTGACTTCCAGACCTCTACGGGATAGGGGATGGGTCAGGGTAGGTGCGGTGCGAGTGATATTTTTGGCATCACAAGATTCTATAGGCTATGGCGACGGCTTATTATCATCAGGCGGGCCATGCGCTCATTTGCCAGACTTTTATCATAAAACAAGTTGCAGAACTTCATGAATGCTGTACGTATGCGTTTTCGCTTTTGTAATAATTATCTAAGCCACTTTGAAACATAAAGCCTTCCTTAAAGTTTCCTCAGTCTAGGCTGCTACAAGCAGTTGAAGAGTTAAAAACGTGGGTTGAAAAGCTATGTCGTCGGTCAGCTGGAAAAGTTGTAATGAAAAGAACCGGCAAGAAACTCAGCTAAGGAAAAATCACATTAAAGATGAAGTCACATTCTGTAACAAAATAATATAATTAGCATTTGATATTAGATTTCGGCGAAATAATAGGGATGACGACAATTTTTTTTTCTTCGTTTATCAGCAACATTGCAGAGATATATTGATTTGAAAAGTCGCATGACGTCACGTTTTGGTACAATTTTCACTTAAAAGTGACGTCACGAGCCCCTACTCCCAAACTTTGACGCGCTATAACTTTGTAATTTTTTGGTTGATTGCTCAAAGAAAACATACGTGTCCATTAAATCTGATCTAACTGACGGACTAAATAGAATTTCGTTTACTTTACCCCGTCGTCTCCTATTCGCCGGGTCTTCTAAATAATCTTCTCTTCGCGGTCTTCGATTTCATGCGTTCAGAATTGGCCCCCGTCGTATTGTTATTGTCGTGGTTTTGTAAGAATAACAAGTTGCGTAGGCGCGTAATCACGTGTTTGAACGATTTTTCAGAGTAAATTGGTAATGTATCACACGAATTTGGTTTGGTTACGTTTCTTATGCTGTGAGATTGCTATTGAGGTCGCAATGATAGTCATTTTTATGTAATAAGGGAGGTAAACAGACATACGGTCCGCCTGCACTCCTGTGTGGACTACCTTGACCCCATTCCAAACCTCAAACCTCAAGAAGCACAGAAAATTTATATCTGTGACAAGTCACGGAGTTCAGCAAATCTTACTAAAGGACAGAAACACAAGACCCCCAAAATTGAGATTTCGGCAATTTTGAATTTTTACTGAAGTATGAATGTGTGCCGCCCTTAACAAAAAATTCATTGTTTATGTTTATTTCCCATTCTGAGAGGTCTAGAAATGAAATTAATACATTCAACTTTATTAAGAAAATCGCCAGTCTATAGCGGTTGAAAGTAAGAGAAAGGGTAGGATAAGGTTGAAAGAGAACGATTGAGACTAAGCAGGAATGAAGAGAGGATGAAAGCTAAGATAATTAAGAGATAGAATCGGAAAGAATAATTATAAAGTACAGTATAAGAAAAATGAGAAGTGTAAAGAAAAAAATAATGAGACGTGGGATGATTTGCTATGCCTTGAATATAAAAGTAATCCAAATACTAAGGACTCTAAATATTTATATATTGTGGCCCGCCCTTGTTTCGCTTCGGTGTAGAGCTGTAGTGTAGACTATATTTTTTGGTCAAATGCTTGTATTATACTCACACATGCAATAGCGATTACTAACTCTGACCTGGCTTTAATTTGTTTCCTGAGTAAGTCATTCGGCGTTACTGTGAACCCCACAAAGACGCAAGCTTTCATAATTGGCAGCTCCTACTTCGTTTCAAGGATCGACTTTGAACATTTACCTCCTTTTAACCTTTGATGGGACTATTATTTGTTTATCAAGTACTGTCAAAAACTTTGGGGTGTTCTTTGATCAGTGTATCTCTTAGAGGCCTCGGGTGGGAAGAAAATGTTTTCTGCATCAGCTTTTTGCCCACCAGTACCAAAATCACTCTGGCAGAGACTTTTTTAGTGTCTATCCTTGACTATGCGCCCCTCTTGCATTGTCTTGTAGTATAGGAGCCTATTCAATAGAAGCAAAGAAACAATCAAATCTTTTTTTTTTATAATATTAGTATAGCTAACAGGTAACTCTCGCCTTGTTACAGGTACACAGGTCACTGTCCCGAATATAAGTACCGAATAGGGGACACGTATGGCTCCACGACGCACAAGATCCTGCTGGACCCCAGCGTGCAGCATTCGGAGAGGCTCGTCCTTTCCGACAGGACAGCTGATGATTTCCAGGTGGGTTGCGATTAAGATGAGTGAGTTTACGAGACATGTATGGCTCTACCACGCACGATATACTGCTGGACCCCAGCGTCCAGCACTCGTTTGTGATGAGTAAGTGCATACGCTTAAGGCAGGGGCGTATTATAAAATTTGGCGCCACTGGATTCTATGATTAGGCGCGTCGGTCCTTTATGATTTGTCGCCACATAAACGGTTTTCCTTCAACAGCTTTTCCAAAAGTACAAAGAAATTCATTTTTCCACGCCTTACAGTTTCCGCCACACCTCGCCGCCTGCCACTTCGGGTCATGGTCCCTTTGGCCCTATGGTATAAATACGCCCCTGAGTTTACGAGACACATGTGGCTCCACTGCGCATAAGAAAGGCCTTGTGACAGGTGATGATTTTGATAAGGATTTTCTGATATCTGATGATGTGCTGCGTAAAGCATTATAATTATGAGTACAGAATACGATACACATTTTGATTCCACCACGCACAAGTATACCGTGACAGTAGATAATCTCTAGGTACATTGAAATAAGGATATTTTCATTGATAAGATGAACCAACTTTTCATCTTAGAATATATAACCTGGGATACGGCTTGAGACTAGATTTGCTATTGTTCTTAGTGGCTAATCCTGTGAAAACTTTAAGTAGATACAAAACCATACAAAACGATACGAAAGAATATTTATGACCATTTTGTTATTTCTAGGTTTTCTAAAATAACGAAAAACTTTCGACCATGCACCTTGTAATCACACAAACCGTTTTACCTACAATTTTTTTAAATTAACTTTACCTATAATGTTTAATTCTTTTGGCTGATGCTTTGTGACGATTACATAACTACAAAGAGTAGACCGCAATGATGAGTTCTACACAGAATTGTGGTTTTGTATAAACAAGAGATAACATTGTAGATCTCTTTATCTATAGTATTTGGATTTTAATAATTACTGAAGTACGTACATCCTTTTACGAACCAAACGGTTAAAAGTGTTATCTATTCAAGTAGGTAATTCACACCGGTATTAAGAATGGGTTAGTTCATCCCATAAACTCTCAAAGATACAATGTAAATATGACATTGTGATGGCTAAAGCGACCCTTTATATATCCGATACTGCAATCTATGCTACGCCTTGTATATATCGTAGAATGCTAAGATAAATGAAATTGTCCCGAAAATCCTAGACATTTTGCAAAAACACCGATAAATTAAACAATGGCGCCGACATTGCATAATCTATACTGTTAACGATTATTTTTTCTGGCTAAAGCTAAGCTTCAGTTAAGGTACTTAATCTGTTCGATTGCATTTGCCTACAGATATTTCGCCCGGCACAGTCTGACATAGACTCCGTGAATGCCAGGTTCCGCAACGGCGATCCAGTTTACAAACATCCTATGATCCCCGGGTATGAAGGTAAGTCTTTATCTGCCGTCGTCGCCTGGCTTTGCAGATTTTGACAAATAAGCATAAAACCTACTTGGACAAGACAACAGTACACAGACAGAGGTTAGAAGATCATAGACCATTTGTACGGGAACCATTGTCGCCGGCTCGCCACCACTACACTCCCAACTAATAGATAATAGCCAATCAAAAGACGCGATAACAAACAATCAAACCAATCCGCGCTCACTCCCGAGAGCGACGACGCAATCAGAACCAAGTTTTTGCCAAGTTATGAGCATTTGCTTACACATAACCGTGGCGCGCCTACCCCGACCACAAGGCCCATCTAACCCCTTTCTGTGTTCTGTGCTTATAGGTATATTTTTTCTTAACACCCATTCAGTTTTGTTAAGCTAACGATGCGGTTAAAGTTGTAAGCTAGACAAAGAGATGTAATATGATCTCGATGAATCAGCCTCTGTGACTCACACTCGGGGCGGCCCGACCACAGGAATGCGCCAGTTTCCTGAAAACTTGATGCATAATTATGCAGTTTTAGTCAAAATATTTTAGTCCAAATATGTAATTGAGTTTTTTTACACTTCGCAATAAAATGTGGATGTTGCTAATTTTATAGTGAGAAAAAGTTTGTTGATAGATTCCTTTAGATAATGAGGGTAAGAGTAGGTATTCGAACACTTAATATGGTAACACGTGATGGTAACGAAGCAGCCTGTAAATGCTGCGAAACGTCAATAAATAAATAAAGTTTCGTGCATTAACCCGTGAAAAACTAGTTTTAATTAATGAGTGATGTGCGTGAAAACCTAAGAAACAAATATGGTAACACCTATTAATCATATTTAGTGATCGGTGGCCTACTCTTGTTTTCATTGATCACAGAAAGAAATGTTGATCATTGGTTCTTGTCGGTTACTGGTGTACTGTACCTTAGGTAAGGAAGGTTACGAAAATTCGTGAGAGTGTTCGATAGTTAAATTATTCTGCAATAATGACTGTAAAGTTACCTTGGCGTGGTACTCATATCACAAAAATTTAAACGCCACGCAAACAAAAAGTTTGCTTTTTATTTGATTTTTCATTTTTTGTAGGCGCGAAAGTGGGAGTAAAGCGGCGACATTGGTTTCAATCCTACTAATGTTATGAATGTTCGAGTATAAATAAATAAATAAATATTTCCAACACACGAAAGTAAGCACTATAAGGCTTGTGTTATGGGATACTAGGGTAACGGATAGAATACGTACACTGTACTTAAATAGGTATATTAAATAGAAATACATATTAAACATCCATGACTGGAATACAAATGCACGTATTCATCACACAAACATCTGCCCCCACCGGGATTCGAACCCGGGACCTCTCGAGTCGGCGACACCATGAAACCCGGCGTACAAACCACTCGGCCACGGAGGTCGTCAAGTATGTTTATTAAACAAACACGCTAAAACAGCCGAATGGATTTGGAAGAAATTTTACTCACAAACAGCTTATAACCAAGAAATAGACACAGGATGGGATTTTTTACCCGCAAGTGTTGGATTCCTGAGGGATTTTCAAAAAATGGAAGTTTACGTGGACAAAGTCGTCGGCGGCTGCCAGTGCATAATGTGACTGATGATAATGACCTTTGCATTTACACGAAACTTTATTTGCTCCGAGGCTAAAACTAAATTAAACATATATTTGTGGGTTACCTACAATGCGAAGAGATGGCGCTGCCTTGTAGCTTAAGAAAGGCTAGAGAAAATTCGATACGGCCATCAGGGCCGCGGTAACGTAATGGTCAGTGCTTTCGCCGGATAGTCACCCGTCTTTGACCTATTGGAGGCCCTGAGCATATTAGGATAATGGGGCCCCTATGACTTGCGTTTGGAGATTTAACAGGAACTAGGGACTTTGTATTTGATCTGAGGGGGGCCCCTATCGATCGCGGGGCCCTGGGCACTTGCCCAAAGTCCCACTGGGAAAGAGGGGTCTGCGGATAGCGAAGGGTGCGTCTGCTGCCTGGTCCGCGTGGATTTTTTTCTAGTAAAATTTTCTTTACATTTAAACATCTAGCAGTTCCTTGCTTAAAATATATCTTCTAATATATATAATTCTCGTGTCACGGTGTGCGCAATTGAACTACTCCAACTGCTCGACAGATTTTCGTGGAATTTTATATGCATATTCAGTAGGTCTGAGAATCGGACATCTACTTTTCATCCCCCGAAATAAGGGTGGTCCACCCTTATTTTTTTTGTTTTGACAATATTTTTTGTTTTTATTTTTTTATGATACATCATACAAAAATACATGCAACCCTACATTTTCACCCTTCTACGACAAAACCTATTTTTTATGGCGGTACGAAGTTCGCTGGGACAGCTAGTATCTTATCTTTATATATATAATTCTTCTGTGAGTGTGTATGTCACTGAACTTCTCTTAAACGACTGGACCGATTTTGATGAAATTTTTTGTGTGTGTTCAAGGGGATCTGAGAATGGTTTAGATTCACAATTTTGTCCGCTGGACAACCCCTATTTTTTTAGGGCGGTACGAAGTTCGCTGGGTCAGCTAGTATATATATAAAATTCTCGTGTCCCAATGTTAGTCACCATACTCCTCCGGAACGGCTTGAACGATTTTTATGAAATTTTATATGCATATTCAGTAGGTCTGAGAATCGGCTACTATCTATTTTTCATACCCCTAAGTGATAAGGGATGTCCACCCCCAATATTTGTTGAACAAATTTAATTTTTTATAATGTGGCATTAAAATGAAATGAAATGAAATGAAATGAAAAACCTTTATTGGCCATCTTACATAAAACGATACTATAAATTTAAAGAATAAATAAAAGAGGAACTTAACCTAAAAACAAAAATTATCAACATAAAACTAAGACGGCCAATCAGGACCCTGCCTCAGCTTATGCTGACACAGTGGGAGAATACTCTCACACTGCATCAGCGCTGGTATTCTGGCAGGGCCTGTGCGAGGACGTCTTAGGCGCTAACAAGCAACAAAAACAATACATTTGTAACAATACATACAACAATGCTTAACTAATCCTAATTGTATTGCGCATACATACATACATATAAATACATGATATAAATATATATATATATATACACACATTAAATACATAAAATGACAATCCTAAATAAAGAAACACAGCGCAGCATTCCGACGCACCCGCACCGCATCCGATAAAAAATACATACAACCCTAAAATTTCACCGTTCTACCACCAGTCCCTATTTATATTAACTTTTTTGGTACGAAGTTCGCTGGACCAGCTAGTATATATATATATATATATATATATGTATAATTATACAAAAGTTGTAAAGAAGGCAGGCACGTAAAAAGGATTACGGGACTCAAAGGCTTAGGCTTAGACACTCGTTTTAATACCATTAGCTCCGGAATAATCTAGAGGAAACGGTACTATAGCTTGATCGTAGCTTGAATGAAGAACATAATTTTTAAGGTGGCCGAATATTTTAAGAAAAGAAAAACGGACAAAGAAAGTTTCGAATTTAAAAGTGATGCGCAAATATTGCCAAAATTGTGGCGGATGCTACGGGGTACCGCGAAAAAACCGTAAGAAATGTAGTAAAAACGGGTAATACATCAACTGAATAAAACAAGTTTCAACGGGTTAGATGCACTGATTTTATTTATTTATAGATGTTGCGAAGGTAGCTCGACAAAGTAAATTAAAAAAAAAAAACATTATTCCGACGACGCATTGCTGCAAAGGATGCGAAACGTCAATAAATAAATAAAATCAGTGCATCCAACCCGTTGAAACTTGTTTTATTTAATGAGCTAAGCAACAATTATAATACATCAACTGAAAATTTGGGCCGATTAAAATTTAACTCTCCCAAAACACCAAAGGTTGTAAAAAAAAATATGTTTTAATAATTCTTTATGTTGTCGCGTTCTAGTTGTGTTTTACTTAAGTATATCTGATAGCGAATGAACTACTAACTCAAGTGTACTAAAGTTTCGCTACAGTAAAGTTTGTATCAGTAGGATATATTACAGTAAAGTTATATTTTTTAAGCATTCAACAGTGAGGAGTTGGCGAAGAAAACGGTGTCATTGGTTTTGACTATATACTACTTTAATTTTACTGCTGAATTTGAATTTCAACTCATTGTCAATCAAAACCGCTTAAAATAGTGTTAAAATTACTAAATTAAAAATCACACTAAAAGCTCACTGTAGGTAAGTCATTCAGTTTTTTACTGCTCCTGTAAAGTTTAATATGATGTAATTATGGCGCGGGTTCGAGTCTCGTCTGCAGCCCTCGTTCGCGTGGTTTTTTTTCTAGTAAAACTTAATTATTGTACTGTATTATTTGATCTAGCTTTCATTTACTGTCCCGAAGCAGAGCTATCCCAATAGATGAAATAGGTCTTATTGTATATAGCCAGGTGGTAAGCAAATAACTCTACCCAATCTCATGTTAAGTGGTGATAAAGTCCAAACGCGAAGGTAATACTAGGAAGTGTAAAAGAGCTTTTAAAAAGTCTATTTACAGAAAATAAATGACTTTTACTTATTTGATTGGTACTACAGTAACTACAGTAGAGATACAGGTGTTTTTCTCACTTTTATGGGGTTCGATTCTTAGTCCAAATACAAATAGGCGGTTAGTTATTCTGTGAATGCAATTCGTATTGTTTTTAAATTTAAAACGAAGTCTTCGTTCTGTAACTTTTTCTAACTACAGTATTAAAGGTACTTTCTCGCTATACAGCTTAATTTTAGAATACCCTTGTATTTGTGAAATGTCATATTTTTGTTTGATGCGCCTCAATTGTTCTACTAGCTAAATGCCCTGTAAGGCAAGATATAACACGTAGATACGATATAGTACCTGAACGCAGATTCATTTATCAGCGTACTGCTTGACAACTTACTGTAAAAGCTTATAAGTATTAACACAAAGGCGTCTCAAACGATCCGTACAAATATGCATAATTTATGACGACTTAAATTTTATAACAATAGCCCTTGCTAAGCTTGCGCAATTGCGTAGGTATCGCGTTAGTACCTACTCTACTGTCCAAGTACGTCAACTATATTTTAACGGGACATGCTCATTTACAATTACTATTACCTACCTCTACTACGCATGTATTCGTTTGTAACCACTATAAACAAAGTATTCATGAGATATTCAAAGGATATTGAATAAATTGAAAACTCCAGTCTCGACATTTCAATACGCAAATTGTATCCATAAACTTACGTGCGATAAAGTAGAGGCAAAAATATGCGTTCCTTCTCGTTTCTAATACTCAGGTCTTTTAACGGTATTACCTAGTTACTAGTTTATCTGAAGCATCGATGATCTGTGACGACTAAATGAATTCAGTAAAATCGTAAGAAAGTTGAACCAATGACTTTCCCTTTGCTTTTCCTTTCCATGCAGGTATGTCATGTCATGATTGGATAAGCTTTTACTACAGTATACTTATAATATTTAAGTAAAATATCTTATAAAGTAATGGATATTTTTATCCTATCCTAAGTTAACTTAAGATTTTAGCTTATTTTTACTTATATCTAAATACATAGGAATCTATCTTCATAGATGATACCTCCGAAACAGTGGTTCTTATATTTTTAGTGACGAAGGACCATATACGGACCACCACTTACGATTTATAAATTTGCTTCCGTGCATATAGGGTTTCTACCAAGGCTGAATGGTCATTTTGGACAACGTTATACTGTATCGGCGACAGAAGCGATGTCAGAGTTCCAGAAGTTACAGCTGAACCAACGGGCAGCTAGGAATCAGTTGGAGCGTGTTGTCGACCTACAAGCTGGAAAAGGACAACCTTGGGACTTGGTAGACCGATTTGTAAGTGGAATCTGCAGAAGGTTATGAAATAACGATCTCGTATGAAATAACGTAACGTTAAATGCTGGATGAGTTTTTTTTTAGAGACGGGAATTTAGCTATGTATTAATTCTGGCTATAAAACGCATAGAAATGACAAGACGATAAATTTTATGTTGCTGGACTATATACTAGACCTACACTTGGTGAAGATCAGAATTATAAATCTATTCCTACGGTTTATCAAACTAAAACTCGAAAGAGAAAAGAAAATGGTAGAATATGAAGATTTTACGAAAAAAGGTTAAAATAAAACATTTGAAAGAAAGATGAGGAAAAAAGAAGATTATGAACGGGTGATGAATAGACTGGCTGTATTTGGCAGAAGTTACGATAGAGGAGAATGATAATATAAAGAGTGCCATTATTAGCAAAGCAGAAACAGGAAACTGAAAGTCTATAGAAAAATATTCTCACGATAAAGCTTCATTCGGCTTTTTGCTCCTGCAGTCGGCTACGGCAGAGTTCAAGTTACCCTTGGTCGTGGTTCGGCCTGAATGTGCAGGCATACTGAGAGATCTACCCATGGATGAGGCAAAACTATCCCCAGCATCACACTCGATCAGCCCATACTTCATGGAAAACGACGATCCCAACAAATTTATCAAAAAAGGTAAGAGCAATGAGAGCTATCGTTTTTTGTCTCACCAGATGGCGCCACTTTTGAATGAGGTCCTGAAGTGTAGCTTTTAAAGTTTGTTAATACGCGCGTGAAATCAAATATTTACATTTAAATCGTATTTTAATACAAAAGAACCGTATTGTAAACATAATCGGCTATGCCGCAGTGTTGAGCAGTTCCTTTTTGTTCGGAAAAAGGGAGCACATCATACTTTTTCTTAACTTCGCTTTTAAATCACTGGCATTCATTGACACGTTACTCATGTTTGCCATAATTAATTTGAGTTATTTCCAAATATTAACAACATTATATTAATAAGAAATAAACCCGCGTAGTCAACCCACAAGCAATGACATTTGACATTTCGGAGACCTCACGCTACACTAGCGCCTCTAGCGGCGGATTCATACGCGATAGCCCCCATTAGAGACTTGGTATAGAGTCCAAAGCCAAACCCAGCAAATCAATGACAGCAGTTTTGTGAATTCAGCAGTTTTGAGTTCAATTAGGTAGTTTTAATTTACGTATTTAACCACTAGGTATTTTAGTTAAAGTCGAACGGCGATAAGTCTGCAGTGGACTGACAGTAGGAAAAATTTTAACTTTGCATATGGCAGTACTGATTATAGTTAAATTAACTATCACTGATACTTTATTATTAACCGACTTATAAAATGGAGGTCCCTCAATTATATATGTTGTTTATATTGGCCGCTTTTGAAGATTCAGTTTCAGGGTTAGGTAGGTTGGGGTAGGGTATTGCTGACATTCTGTCGTCTGTCTATCTGCCCGTATGCGACTGTTCTCTAGATCGTAAACGGAATGAGTTACAAAACTGAAATTTTGGCATTTTATGTGGATGCTCGCCCAATGCCGAATTTTTAGTTCAAATTTCAGTTTCATTATTTTTAATGGGGGGTCTCTTACATGTGATTCATCATTGTCTAGAGCTTGTTGAGTAGGATATGAATATTGTTACTTATCGAAATTATAACGCCAGTTCACACTTGACAGTTCAACTCAACTGTCTCATCCCCGACCCAAGCTGCCTTAGAAAAGAAGAGCCGTGAATATTGTCACTTTTAAACCATTTTTGGTACGTAGTCTATCTCAAAATCGAAACAGGCTTTGAAAGCGAAAGTTTGGTATGTGTCATATGCACAACACATACCAAATCTTCAATTTCACAATCTGTATTTAAACAACAAATACTGAAAATGATGGCTCATAACGTAGGTACTATTTAAGTTGTAATGAAAACAAACAAATGTTATAATTTATAATTAAATATTTTTTTAAAGCATGTAATTGCGTGGAATTTTTCTAGTTACATTTTCTTTAGATTTAAACATCAAGCAGTTACATGCTTTAAAAATTTAAATTATAACTATAATTGCTATTTCTTCTTTCAAATGTTTAATACTTGTAAAAGTATTCATTTGACATTGTGGGTTACTTATAATGCGAAGAGATGGCGCTGCCTTGCAGCTTAAGAATGGCTAGAGGAATTTCGACGCGGTCCGTGAGGGCCGCTGTAGCATAATTGGTCAGTGCATTCGCCCGGATTGCGAAGGGTGCGGGTTCGAGTCTCGTCTGCTGCCTGGTCCGCGTGGAATTTTTTCTAGTTACATTTTCTTTAAACAAACAAATGGTTTTCCTTTCGCGGTGTATTGCGAACTGCGATTTAGATATCGCTAGAGCACGGAAACGAACTATTTCATAACTCTGTGATATTAATATTAGGTAGCTTCAATAACAGGATAATTTCACTGCACGGAACCCTAATAGAGCGATACTAGACTCGCGTTTGGACAGGTTTTTTATTTAAATATTTTTTTTGGCAAGATGATGCCATATTAAATAGTTGAAGATCTGTCGAGTACTTTGGGAGACGAAACGAGGAAACTCTTCAATTAGAAACAGATCCTAGGTAGGTATATTATGTTTCGTTATTTTAAGAAAAAAAACCAGGTAATGCATTCCAGCTAGGAGCAAATAATAATTGCTCCTAAATTACCATTCACTAAGAATGGTAATTTATTATGTATATAGTCAATGCCATTTTGGATTTTTGACTTATAAAAGGTTAAAAAAACTTATTTATCAAAATCGTTTTATGGTTGTTTGCGCACTTATGTAGGTATATATACAATGTAACTGTTGAAGTGTAAATAAAAAATAGCAATACATAAAAAACTAGAATCGAGAAATTTATTGAAACTCACTAAGAATCGACTATATTTGTTCTTTTGCAGATTTATTATGTCTTATTCTTTTTACCCGGCTGCGCAATGCAAGAGCGCGAAGCGCGACGCGCAGACAGGGTTATGTGTTTAACAGTCTATATATGTATGTTTGTTCCTTTGTGGCACACTAGAGACCAAACGCCTGGACCGATTTTGATGATTCATACATCAATCGATTCGTCTCAATCATGGGAGTGCTACTAAAGATATGATAGTATTCAAAATTCAATATGGGCAAAATTAGGCGCCATATTGTGACGAAGTAAAAAAAATAAGTTGACAGAATATGTCGAGTGGGGTATCACTGTCTAGATAATCAAAAATCATATTTAGGTTCCTAACACCATTTTTCATTTAATATGAACGTTCAGGATCTACAACGCTTTAAAGTTGTATATTAACCACTTACGCTTTTAATTTCAATCTTACGTTTGTATGGATCTTTGTTACTCTTTCACCTAAGAAATACAGAATGGATTTTAATGAAACTTAAGAGTAATATAGCTCATGTATGATAATTACATATATATAATAATTTATGTAGTTATCGAGTGAATTGTCCAATATATAACAATAAGTGTCACATAAGACGGAAAAAAATCTCCCATCTGCGAGCCATTTTGGCCTGCACTGCAAAAACAATAAAAGTTACATGAATATATTGTAGAGTGAAAATGTATCTCTTCAATAGTTCTAAAAAAAAGTCCGTGACACCATATATCTATTTTTAATATGTAAGTCATTACCGCTAAAACAGTGAATAAAAACTAAAATATTATTTGATATCTATTTCCAAAATGCACATTTTGTATTAACAAATCATTTTTTATCAAAACAAATACTTTTATCGCTTTTGATATTTAAAGACGATAAACTTTGCTTTTTACACTATGTCATTTCAACAAATATTTAAAAAGTTACAACGATGACAAAGTGATAGCGCGGTGTATTATGTAAAAGAAAAAAAAATGGGCTATTCGCAGTATCTGATCCTATACGAAGCACTAACAATAAAACTGTGATACAGTTCCTTCTTATTAAATGATGAAAAATATATTATCCTAATAGGTATTTATGATTATTGAATTTTTTATTTACCGGGATAAAATATAGCCTATGTCACTCGGACAAAATGTATTTAAATAAAGAAAAATGTAATAATAAATAATGCAGCTACCTTATGATGAATTAATATTTGAAACCGGTTCAGTAGTTTGACAGATTATTTGTTACAAACATAGAAATCTTGCCTCTTTATAATATTAGTATAGATAGTTAGGATAAGATAAGTATTTAATTGATGAAAAAGATTTAAAAATAAAGTAAGTAATAGGTTTATTTGATTATATTTTACTTAGCATTTGTGCTTAACAGTAATACGTAAATCGGTATTTTTTTAAACAAAAAAAAATGGAAAATAATTGCCATGATTGCCCTACTGGGATTGCTCTTCATTCGAGCTGTACACTACCAATAAAGAAGGGTCGATCACAAAGTCTTTGACCTGTTATATGTGAACGCTTTAAAAGAAAACCACAAAGAGAACTACACTTCTGGACACATCTATTGGCCCACCTTGTATTTTCAGTTTCGTTTCGCAGGTTCGTCGTAGCAAAAAGTTTTTATGCAGTTTTGAACCTGGCACATTCACAATTTCATTCAATAGTCTTTTTTTGAATTTCGAACACAGAATTTAAAGAAACAAAAGACAATTTGGAGCCTGTTTGTTGATATCAAACAATCGAATACTAAGAAAACTTGGTTTTATTGGTTTACTTGGATTTAATTCTTAAAAAAGTGATTGATATCTTTGGTTTTGCAACAAACATTACTTATTCTTAACATTAAGGTGAGGTTCTATCAATAATCTATGGATACTTCACCTGAAGTCGCCGCCCAAGCTGTGGCACTTATTCAGGCCGGACACAGCCAAAGAAACGTGAGTGCTCAACTTAATTTAAGTCGATCTGCGATCCGAAATGTTTATCGGAGGTACCTAGAGACTAGCGGCTTTGTTCGTCGCCAAGGAAGGCCACGATCTCGGGTCACAACTGAAAGGCAGGATCGATTCGAAATCGTTACCTTACCTCCATTGAGATACAAAAACAAATTCGCGACTTCCACGGAGTATCTGTGAGCGCTCAAACTGTTCGGAGAAGGTTAAAAGAAAGCGCAGTTGCTCAGACGATGCAGGAGTTGAAAACTGCCATAGAAGAGGAATGGGAGATGATCCCTCAAAATTTCATAGAGCGGTTGATAAACTCTATGCCTACTCGTATGAGAGCTGTGGTAGATGCCCATGGAGGCAACACGCGTTATTAAATTAAACCTTTATTTAATAAAACATGTTTTTATTCAAAAATCAATTGCCTTTAACAAGGCGCATATCCGACTTGTTAGGCGTAGCTCCATGTCGTATGGTATTCTGAATTCAAATTTAAAACAATACGATCGAAAAAGATGGTAAAATGTATCAGGTTTAAAACTGCATCAACAGTTTTTGTTCAATCTAGCTATCATATTTCGGTAGGGGCCATCGAAACCTAAACTCTAAGATGTGTCCAGAAGTGTATAAATTGATAATAAATGAGATTGCTATGGTGCTCTATCTAACGTTATGAAAATTTTATTATGCGCCTTTAGTTTAATCAAATATTATAAACTTTGCTTTGGTGATTGCATAATTATTTAATTTAGTGATCTAAGGCAGTTGCCACCATTGTCCAAAACAACAAACGAGAATTACTGCTTTCTTCAACCTGCGACATAAACGTCGTTGATTGGTATTGTATATAGGGTGATTAAAAACATTTGAAGTTAACTTCTGGCATCTACATATGGGTTTCTGTGAATTATGTAGGTATATCAAATTATGAGACTAGGGATTGACACTGCATTTGTGTATATCACAATCTTAGACGTCCGGCATTGACATGACAATGCAGCCACTGCCAATTTTAAATAGTCGACGAATAAAAGTAAATGAATTTTATATTTACTGCTAAACTATTAAAAAAAACATAAACAAAAGATGACTTGTTGAGTAAGTTCTAGATTACTATAAAATTTACATACATTAGAGATATTTATGTAACGACTTGATTAAACTTCACACATTTTTGCGAAAATTGAGGCCCATCTGTAGCCTTGACCCCGCTGGTAAAGTCTCTATATGTCTTAATAAATCAATCTTTTTGACCGACGCAAGGTACTTAATAAATCCCGCGATATTAATTCCCTTACTGAAGTAACAAGACTACGGTATAAACCGTCTTAAAATACTAACTAACTAAAAAGTGTGAAATAAAAAAGGTAAATTTAAAAAATCAAAAAACCCGACTGCTTAATTATACTTCAAATAAAAACTGAAAAGAAAAAAACAAGTCCAGTAGTCTATAATTCTGTTAATAAGGAACAAAGCTACTTTAGCAGTCGGGACCCACTGTTGAAAAATATTATGTATTCTTGAATATCTAATGGGTCCCGACTGTTAAAGTAGCTTTGTTCCTTATTAACAGAATTATAGACTACTGGACTTGTTTTTTTCTTTTCAGTTTTTATTTGAAGTATAATTAAGCAGTCGGGTTTTTTGATTTTTTAAATTTACCTTTTTTATAAATTACTTCTCCGACTTAAAATTTCATTATTCTATTCACTGCGCAAACATAAAAATTCAAAAAAAAAATTTTTAAAAGAAAGATTCTTGACTTACTGTAAAGTTATCGTGGTCTAACTGTAACTAAACCTAATCGTAAATAAAAGTTTTTATAACTGCTTATTTAAACAAAACCTTTTTCTAACCAGTAACAATTATGTTTATGAATATGACGTACAGCGGTCGGTGACATTTTACTGAATGATTTGGATTAAATTAAATTTGTTTATGTAATTTAACTTTACTTTATATTTTTGTTTATTTTATTGGTCTATTTCACATTCATGTCGTATGGAAAGATTCATTCATCTTTTGTGAGGAATCAAATTTGGGGATACAATCCTGCAGAGTCAGTGCGTGAGTTGTTGATTTCATAAGTAATACTTATTCAAATATCGACATCCAACCTATTAGGATAGGTACCTAGGCATTTTGGGCTTCCGGGCTTAATAGTGATACAGTTTATTTATATTATTTATTTTTTACTTAAGCAAACTACATATTTAGTCTGCCATAGTCTGCTTTCTTGAGTGACTTGGGTTTTGTTATATTTGTGTTTCATTTCCGTGTCAGATAAAAATTATTTAGATCTTTTTTAATTTCAGGTTTTTCTGGCCATGTTCCCTATGGTTTTCAACGTTTTGGGGAGTCTTCAAAGAAACTTACGAATTCTGCACTCTGCGACTTTTCTTCTAATTACAGACGAAGACAGAGTACTGAATGGGCCCCAGTAAATGTAGTTAAGTAAGTTAAACGTTCTCTTCCTGAATGTAGGTAATTTAATTCATAACAATAAGTTTACGGCATTTACAAATAACATATAAATAAATGCCAAACAGAAAGATCTTGGCTCGATTGCCTTAATAACGCTCGGACGATTTTTGACGTGATTTTATCGAGTGCGATTGGCGTCATTTTTATTTTCATTATTCTTTAACTCGTTCATATTGAATACTGTGAAATAAAATTGGTGTGAATTTAGCTTATTTATATTATTATCTGCGCAACTAAAAAAAGGGAATCTTAAAATATACGCTATTCCGGTAAAGTAGACGTGAAAACTCTATCGTATTGACTACCTCACAGAAGCTTAATGGCGCATTTGGTCGTAAGACTACTCGAATTCGGGCACCCGATGCAATATTTACATTACCACGAAAACTACCTGAATACGGGCGTATTCGACTCCGTACCCTTAGCACGAACCAATGTCGAATTCGAATAGTTTGATGTGAGTGCGCAATGTCATTGTTAAATATGTATTGATTTTTAGTTCTCGTTACGTCATTTGTGGCGCTGATGTTTAAGTTTTTATATTTTATATTGACATTTCGCACTTGAACTCGATCGAAACTATTTGAATTCGATATTGGTTATTGCTAAGGGTACCGTTCATTTTAAACGACTAATGTTTGTCCGAATTCGAAAGGCAATCGTATTCGGGCTAACGACCTAGTGTAATTGCACAATAAAGAGAAAACTGACTAGATACATTTCATGCCAATCATTCTAAGTAATATTAAAATGGGACACACCCACATTCTTATGTAAAAAATTAAGATGATGGCTTCATAGATTTACCTTTGCCTTTCCCAACCGGGAAGAATAAAAAAAGTCAGAAAACTGTCAACCAATTGTCAAAAATCGTTCTTGTTCTTGACGCGTACATTATTTATTTTTTGAGTGTTGAATTTCTAATAAAATGGGCAAGAAAAAGCCCCTTCCGAATCTCTCTAAGGAGGAGAAGATGGTCATCGTAATATCTGAGATCATACAAGAGTTATTAGTAGCTCATCGTCAAGGTAAAGATGTTAACCTCAATAAGATGAAAACGAGAATTTCGTCGAAGTATGGCCTGGGGACGTCGCCTAGGCTCGTGGACATCATAGCCGCGGTGCCTGCAGACGCCAAAAGCATCTTGTTGCCGAAGCTAAAGGCCAAACCTATAAGGACAGCTTCAGGAATAGCAGTTGTCGCGGTTATGTGCAAACCACACCGTTGCCCACATATAAACTTCACTGGTAACATTTGCGTCTATTGTCCGGGAGGACCTGATTCTGATTTCGAATATTCCACTCAGAGTTATACTGGTTACGAACCTACTTCCATGCGAGCTATAAGAGCGAGGTACAATCCTTACCTACAGACTCGTCACAGGGTTGAACAGCTGAAACAGCTGGGACATAGTGTCGATAAAGTGGAATTCATCGTTATGGGCGGAACTTTTATGAGTTTACCTGAAGATTATAGGGATTATTTTATTAGGTAAGTTATATGATTGGAAAATTACTGGTACTTAATTCCATTATATGTAATTGAATTTCGCGGTAATTTGTAGGGGATGGGGAGGGGGGGCTCCCCCCGACCCCCCCGCCATAAAAGATTTTTGGCGGAAATGCAGTTTTTTTTTTACCTAACCTAAAAATTCATTAAATCTTTCAGTTTTAAGTAGTGAAATTTCATGGGGATAGGTATTAGGGAAGACCCCTCAGAGGGAAGGGTCGTTTTTTTTTACAGAAATGATAATTATAAAAAATTAGAGGAGTTTTAAAGGTAAAACTGTACTTCCAGGGCCTAGAGGTGATATTTGATTTTTTTGTAGAAAAAGTCTCTATTAACGAATTTTTCTTTCTGGCGCTTCGCCGGCCGCTGCCGCGGCACGCTCGCTTCGCTCGCTCGGCTCGCGCGTTAAGGTCACAACACTAACCTAACCTAACCTAGTGTGAAGTATCACCACACAAGTGGCTCATTAGAGTCCAAAACTCGCACTACACTCGACTCTTCAGGCGATGGGACAGCAGAACTCGAGGCCGAAGGCTTTGAGGATGCCATGGTAGTCAGACGATGTTAATATCAACAGGAGTACGAAAAAGCTCTCAACTGCGACGAACACAAACACTGACTGACAGATCTCATTAATGGCGGTAAATTGTCACATTTTGACAATAGTACCAACATAATAAACTTATATTTACCATAGACAACGAGAATCATGTTATTTTTGCATAAAAAAATGGCAGCACTGATCAAAATTGCTGTCAAAATTGACTCATAACCTACAAAAATATTAATTTTCAATAATTTTTTTCTCGAGTTCTATTCGTTTCCGCCTAAAAAGATTTCGTGTACGTGTTTTTAATAGTTAATACTTTGCGTGACAAAAATTTCAGCTTGCAACTCAATTACATATAATGGAAAGCTGAGCCAAATTACTTTATTCATATTAATATGGTAGCATTATCACTCGTATCTGTCTACTGTCTTTCGAAATTAAAATAAAATAGCTATTAAATAATATTTAGCTATATTTTGTAAAAATTAAGATAATTAGATTCAATTAATAAAATAATTACAGGAATCTGCATGACGCTTTATCTGGTCATACATCTAGTTGTGTAGCGGAGGCTGTGAAATACTCAGAGAAAGCAAAGACCAAGTGTATTGGTATCACAATAGAGACTAGGCCTGATTATTGCCTGCAGAGGCACATGAGTGACATGCTGAATTATGGATGCACTAGGTAAGTCATATTATTACTATATGGTTTTTTGAAACTTACCTGGTAAAGTAAATGACAATTTGATAGTACTTGAACAAAAATAATCATTTACAACCTTCTTAACCTACCTCTAATGAAGCCTTTAAAAATATCTCTTATATTCAGCACCTGTAAAGCATAATACTTTGCCAAAAATACAAAAAAGGGTCTCTTCTTTTTTGTATTGAGTTATTGATCAGCATGTTTTTTGAAACAAATTTCAAATTAACAAATTAAAACTTGTAACATTATTTTTTTTTATTTTCAAAAGCATGTAACTGCTTGATGTTTAAATTTCAAGAGTCCCGTCTGCTGCCTGGTCCGTGTGGAATTTTTTCTAGCTATATTTTCTTTAGATTGTAACATGTTTTATTACATTATTGAATTTTGCTCATTTTCAGGCTTGAGATAGGTGTACAATCAGTGTATGAAGATATAGCTCGAGACACTAACAGAGGACACACAGTTAAAGCAGTTTGTGAAAACTTTAATCTAGCAAAAGATGCAGGTTACAAGGTAATAAATACGTCTTAAACTTTTTTATTACTCCAGTAGCTGTCAATTTTAATGGAGATAAGAAAGCACTGAATTAATTTTAATCATATGGCCTATGATATAACTAGGAGTCTAAATGTAAATAGAAATCATCAAATCATGGCATTCTTAATATACATTTTTTCATTTAAGTCTAAACTGCTTGTTTTTGTTATATCTAATAAATCTAAAATATAAATATTTCAAATATTTATTTTATAGATTGTAGCTCACATGATGCCTGATCTTCCAAATGTAGATTTTGAAAGGGATGTGGAACAATTCATTGAATTCTTTGAGAACCCAGCATTCAGAGCGGATGGTCTTAAAATATATCCAACTTTAGTGATCAGAGGAACTGGGCTGTATGAGTTGTGGAAGACAGGGAGATACAGAAGCTATCCTCCTTCAACTTTAATAGACTTGATTGCGAAGATATTGGCATTAGTGCCACCCTGGACTAGAGTTTACAGGTGAACTGAACTCTTTCTTATTTCTGCAACATAGATATTACAAATTATAGGCAATAACAATTTACAAATCGAGCTTATCATTATGAATTAATTATTAATTACAAAATTTCATGATCAAATAAAATCAGGGATAAGAAAGTAAAATATAACTTTTATACTGCAATGCAAAAGTCTAATAAAATTCTACATAAACACATTATCACAAATCTAGTCCTGCTTCCTACAATAGCATTTCAACTTAGTGGAAACTATCCCTTTATCTTCTTCTAATATATAAACTTTTCTTGTCATGGTATGCATAATTTAACTACTCCGAAACGGCTTGACCGATTCTCGTGAAATTTTATAAGCATATTCAGTAGGTCTGAGAATCAGACAACATCTATTTTTCATCACCCTAAATGTTGAGGGTGGTCCACCCTTAAATTTTTGTTTTTATTTTTTATGATACATCCTACAAAAATACATACAACCCTAAATTTTCACCCTTCTATCACTAACCCCTATTTTTTTATGGCGGTACGAAGTTCGCTGGGACAGCTAGTTTCATTATTAGATGCTAGAAATAACTTAAAATAATGATGTCATCATTAATTTTATAGGAGTCTTTTTTTTCTGAAAAATAAACATGTGAAATTTCAAACATTTTGCAGGGTTCAGCGTGATATACCAATGCCTCTAGTGTCCTCTGGAGTAGAGCATGGGAATCTGAGAGAGCTGGCATTGGCTCGCATGGCCGACCTCGGGACTGACTGCCGAGATGTCAGAACAAGGGAAGTTGGCATCCAAGAGATACATAATAAAGTCAGGCCCTATGAAGTAAGTCCTGATTATAAAAATAAAACCTTATTATTTATCAATATCTATTAGACGAGTCCGTCTGTCCGTGGTGCTGTTTCAGCGGCCAAACCGTAAGAGATAGATAAAGAGAATATTTAAGTTATAAGTTAAGAATAGTCTGATAAGACTACAAACCGGATTGAGTAACGTAGCACTTCCGGTTTTCGAGAAATCAGGTCTTGGTGAACATTTGGTTCACTGGTTTGTTAGTTTATCAATAAGTCATTAAGTGAACCTTAATAAATAAAAAATAGTATTGACTTTTGTTTGAAATCCTTTTTAGTACAAATGTAGTTATCCTTTATAATTTTTGTCGTTTCATTCTTTTAGGTGGAATTAATTAGGCGCGATTATATGGCTAATGGTGGCTGGGAGACATTCTTAGCCTATGAGGATCCAAACCAAGACATCCTTGTAGGTTTATTACGACTCAGGAAATGTGCCAAGGATACTTACAGACCTGAGCTAAAGCCTGGCCCTAATTCTAACTTCAAACAATGCAGTATAGTAAGAGAATTGCATGTCTATGGATCTGTTGTGCCTGTAAGTGTATATTGTAATCACAATTATAATTTACTCACAAATTAAGGAGCAATCTTTTCAGAGGCCATATTTATAAACTCTTAATGCCAGGCAAATTGTTTTTTAGAGTGCGGCAGCTCATGCGCTCAGCAGAGTTGCATTCCTTTTCAACTTCTGGTTTGGCCTGACGTTAAAAGTCATAATATGACCCCAGGCAATCTATTTGTGTTATATTACCGTTTTTATACTCTGTCCACGAAAACGAAATAGTGGAGAGCTTTCTTTATTGCACAATTACCTACTAGAGATAAGGTTGGAATATTGCTTTAAATACAAACCCAGCATTATTACTCTTGCCAATGTCGGTACTGGATCATTTCTGTGAAAAGTGTGTAGAAAAAATTTGGAGCTTTAACTTTCCTAATATTCATAAGCCCATTAACAAAATAAGTCAATTTACGGTTACTGGTCCTATAACAGTGCACCAAACTTTCAGGTAAATGCTCGCGACCCAACTAAATTCCAACATCAGGGTTTTGGTATGCTTTTAATGGAAGAAGCCGAAAGGATTGCACGAGAAGAACACGGCTCAGACAAGATGGCCGTCATATCCGGCGTCGGCACACGAAACTATTACGCCAAAATTGGCTACCATCTCGAAGGACCATATATGGTCAAAATGTTGTATTGAACATGAAATACACTGTTGGACGTGGACTTAAAAGTTCATTTTTGTATTATAAGCAGACATAAGAGAAATATTTTATTGAACTTAAAATTTACTTTCAGATGTGGACTTAAAGTCTAGTGATGTTTGTGCAAGCACAAACATAGATATACATAGATGTAAATGTTCAATATTTTTATCAAATAAATGTTGGAAGTAGATGGTTTTTTATGGATATAACATTTTTACTTTTTAATAATTTAGCTCGTCGATCGATATCTTTATATCATATCTGTAGTTTTTTTATCGCAAAAAAATCATTGTCTGACCAGAGACAAGTAAACGGTAATTTTCAATAACTAAATTGTTGCATTGTAGCTGTTATGGTACCTAAACCTAATAATAATACGAAAATATTTGAGATATTAAAAACAGGCATGCAAAAAGATTAGTTTGTTAATAACTGCAGTAGTCAAAATACTGTGTTGCAGTAATTTTTGTCTTAACTACGGTATTACATTCACTTATTGTACGAATATCGCTCTTATTACTATATGAAACAAAGGCTATATTAACGTCTAACTGTATACAAACAGTAGTAGTGACTGTGCATTCCATTTAATCCACAATCCTTTCCTCCAGACCCGATCCTCCCCTGTCAATCAAACCGACGGAACTTTACCACAAGCACGTGGGTATGCTGCCTAACTACGCTGGGCACGTCCCGGGATCCGTGTTTAGGTTAGTTGGAAAATCTTCAAATCTCTCTAACGCTCGAATTATAGAACGATTCTCAGTAATTAATCTAGTCTTGACCATAGAAAGGGATAATGCTATATAAAGCACATAGCGACATCCCTTTCTAACTGTACTCAAGTAAAGATCAGCACTTAGCTGTCATTCTGTAATACGAGCCTAAATGACTTTGAGCTATAACTTTCCTAATATAAGTTTCATAATCGATTGAGAACTAGATATTTTATGGTAACTTGTATCATACATTTTACTGACCGGAACGGAACTCATGTTAACGAAATAGAAATGATATGGAATATGAATAGCATTAAAAAGTGGCTCCTCGGAAACTGCGATCAAGTGGGCGGGGCGAAAAAAAGTCACCAACACGCCGAGCTTGGGATTGGTTGGGATTTCCGTTTAACATTATCTTACTCAATGAATGGATAGCCTAATTCATTGAAGTTTGTTATGTCTGTGTGCATACCGCGTTAGTTATACTTATGACTATGAAACCATGGTTTAGCGGTCTTTGTTAGAGAGTAATGCTTCCATATCATTTCTTATTCTCTGGTAAAAATAGTAAAAACCACTACTAATATTCATTCTTAAATACAGATGCCATAAATTGGCACTTTGTTTTTAATAATGTCAAAGTTTGATTAACAACTGTAGCCGGTAGGAGGCGCTGTGATCGGGTTATATTCAAAATCGTTCTAGTGCAACAGTACCCCTAGCACGAACCAATATTGAATTCGAATAGTTTGCGAGTGCGAAATGTCAATGACATATTTTGTATGGAAACTTGAACAGCAGCGCCACAAAGTACGTAACGAGAACTAAAAATCAGTACACATTTGACAATGACATTTCGGATTCGCAATCGTTACGAATTCGATAATGGATCGTGCTAGGGTTACAGATGTCGGCTGTTTGTGTTAACGTATAAAAATTTAAAAAATCAATGAGTTTTTATTTTACTTCAAGATTTGGAAAAACGTACGGCAATGACACTCGGGATGCGAAACGATGGTTGCGAGGAGACTTCTCATGAAGATGCTGCTAGTGAGTGCTTGGTTCGGAAGCTACTTTTGTAATCATGAAATATGAGAAACCAAAAGTGACACATGCCTTTAGAAGATGAAATTTTGGAAACTCTACTTTTATCGTGAACCAGTATGTCAATAAAACGAACAACAATTAACATAATATTGCTTTATTGTTCTTTGAGAATAAGGCGCCTTATTCCAAACCTGGACTAAAGTTAGTCTTGGTTTAAACCTAATATTGTCTCTGTCTTCTTTTTAGCAAAGAAAAGTGACAGCAGTTTAAGTCCAGGTTTAACTTTAGTCTATGTTTTGTAATAAGGCGTGAGGTGTTTAGCCTCGGCAGCGTATTTTTAATACACAATTTTACATTAAAAATATTAATTCATTCATGTAATTATTGATTTATACATTAATGGTATTTTATAATCTGTAAATGGGCCTGTTTAATGTCTTACTGATAAACTACCTGAAAGGATGTCCGGAGTCGTGATGTGTAGAGTCAGCTGTTTTTGGTATTCATAAAAAAATAATCGAGTTGGGACTCGAGTCAGAAAACTCGGACAGGTTTTTGAGTACTAGCACAAGAAGGTATTCGAATACTTCAGTGGACTCGAGTACTTTTTGTATTGAACATTATGGTTTGCTTTTGACAAGAGAACTCCAACTAAAACTTCAATTTAGAGATTGAAAATACAATCCTAAGAAAGAAATACTTCTAAATATTATTTTATTTCTTCTAAATACTAAATAGAAAAATCATATGATTCCTTATTAAATATCAATAAGATTAGACTCAAACGGGTTTTATTACCCGATGGCGCAATGCAGAAGCGCGACGCGCAGACAGGGTATATTAGTGTTACAGTGGTGTCGATTCTGGCATGATTCTCTAAACCTAAACTTAATTTGACAACACTGTATCCTTGTCATTCTCTATACAGAATGAACAGGAAAGCCTAAAAATGTTAAAATTTGTTTTAAGTTTTGAGAATCATGCCAGAATCGACGCCATTGTATACTTGGGTAATAGGGTATTTGACAAGATTCTGAAAACGACCACACGTTATTTACTTATGTTTATGCAGTCCATAGACACAAAAGTGGATATTTATCATTCTGTTCTGTATTTCAGTAAAAATAACTAAATCAAAAACGCCATTTTCATGTTTCCGCAAAAACGTTTCAGTGGGACAATATGGTATCTAATTTGTATGTGACGTCACACGACTGTCATTAAAACGTCAAATGATATAATGTAACGTCACATTAACCGGATGTTTACTAGTGTGTGGCGTCATTTTAGGCTCCGTAGGCTCAATCCCAGGCGTTTTCAGTCACGTGACAATAGATAAGAAAACTTACATTTTTCGTGGGTTTATAGGAAAATTATGATTTTTTTTTCTGTAAAAATAGTAAAATATTCTAAATACAGATGATAGAAATTGGCATTTTATTTTTAATACTGTCAAATACCCTATTGCCATTTCATAATATAGAGAACATTATCGGAATCGTCACTAAATGTTCAATGTAACTGGTTGTCCCGAAATTTAGGATAAGTATACATTAAAAAAACAACTTCTATGCAGAAACAAAATTAATGCTCTTGCAATGCCAACCAAATAATATTGCACATTAATTACAAAAATATATGTAACTGGTTGTCTCGAAATTTAGGATAAGTATACATTAAAAAAAAACAACTTCTATGCAAAAACAAAATTAATGCTCTTGCAATGCCAACCATATAATATTGCACATTAATTACAAAAATATATAACACTCTTTATTATTTACTTATAAAGTAAGTATAAAAATATCACATCACAGAAATTTACTTCTTCTTAGCATTCCATTCCTTAAGCAGCTTTTCTGTTAGTTGCAAGTTTTCGTCTTTCTGCAATAGAAAAATCACCATTTGTTATTTTTATTATCTTCTTTAGAGCGGACGCGAGCTGAGAGGCATATAGGAAATAGGTATTTGAAATAACTATTGCTGTCGCGCATTGGTAAATACCGTGCGATAAGGACAACAGTAGCTAATGCTGAAAATTGCGTATAAAAATTGCATAAAATCGTGGATTGGCTCTGGACTATTTCCTCCTCGAAAATTATACACAGGGTGTAAAAAAAACCTTTGATGAAGTCGAAGGCCACGTATTATCCACATCATGACGATATTTTTGACGGACCATACCTGGGAAATTTCTGGTTATGGAGATATTGAAGGTCAAAGTCACAATTTTTTATTATTTATCTATACTTATAATAAATCTGTAGAGAGGTCAATTCTGTACATGAAATATATTTTCAAAATAACTATCAGGGGATGATTAGTGATCGATACTGATGCCAAAAATGCAATCAGTAAAATTTTTGTCTGTCTGTCTGTCTGTGTGTATGTTCCTTATAGAAACAAAAACTACTCGACGGATTTTAACGAAACAATATTAACAACAACAATTATTCTTCATACTCCTGGGCAGGTTATAGTATACTTTTCATCACGCTACAAACAATAGCAGCAGAGTAGTGAAGGGAAATGTTGAGAAAACGGGAGAAGTTACTCCATTTTTTAAGCTTCCGTCGCGTGTGCAGCCTTAATGGTTAAAGTTACATAGACATCATGTATGACGAAAATATTCTACATAAAATTGTCTTAATAATATCCCGCAATAGCATATGTCTATATTTTATGGTTGACTCACAATAACACGTGTAATTATATAAATAAAGTCATTGTTTATAGCACAAGCCTGAGAACAAAAACTATAGTTTACACTACAGCTCTACACCGAAGCGAAGCGAGGGCGGGCCACTAGTATCATTAATATTTTCAAAACGTTATTAAGAAACTTTTTGATCGACGCACTTACACACATGCACACACATACACATACCAACAGGCACATGGCTGTGTGTATGTGTGTGTATGTGGGTAAGTGCGCTACTGTAGCGTTACGCAAACAATGTTCTTTGCGTACATTGCGTACTGGAAAAAAATGTATATTTTAACTTAAAAATACAAATTTTTCCCAGGTATAATATTTTGTAATATTACTTGTTTGGGTGTACAGAATGCGTACTTTGAGCCTTTGTCATAGGATTTTGCACAGGTATGCAAAAAAAAAATAGAAAACAAATCACAAAATAACAAAAGTAAGTAGTTATACTAGGCCTCTATATTTTGCTTTTTTTGTAAAAATGCTTATTGAATCTCTACACAAGATGTCTTTAGTGGCGATAAAAATTTGTTTATTTTTGGCAATTTTTAGGACTTGTAGTTTCTTTGTAATACAAGTTATTGGAAAAAGAAGACAAAGGAACATAGAAAAAGTGAAATTATATTTTATGTAAGAAAATCATTTGTATGGAATAACATTGCCCGCATTGATCTTAAGGATTGTCTACTAATGACTCTACTAGTAATTAGTGTCTGATGATTATAGTATAAATTTTATTCACAGCATATACGATTACTAGCGATCGCCCGCGACTTCGTCTGCGTTCACTTTATTTTTTCCCCACAGATACCTAACATTTATCAGGATAAAAAGTATCCTTTGTTTTCATCATTTCATCTAAATCCGTTCAGTAGTTTTTGTGTGATTGATTAACAAACATACAGACTTTCATATTTATAATTACAAAGACGACGTCTTGTTAAATTGAATGCATTGCATTCCGCTTTGTAATTAAATATTAAAATTTATATATTGCCACTACAGTAGTATAATTTAACTGACGCTTCCTGTACATAGCTTATTAAGTACTTAGTAGTACATTATTATTGTTTTGATTTTGGGGCTATGCAGTCCTAATGGGACTGCAGTCACTGCGACCTATAAGATCTATTGTGACTCGCCACCAAGTTTAAGTATCTCTTTCAGCCCGACAGCTTCGAAGAAGCTCAAAATGTTTCTAGATTTTAGATATATCATTTCCTCTGGGCGTATTATAAATCGTCCCAAATGAATACTACGTTTGTGGATGAGATCATGAGAGGCCTACATTCACATAGGTGTTTTGGTGTTTCACGCTCCTGATTCATATGAAATTGGTGTCTGTTGAGTTTGCAGTGTTTAGTTAATGCTCTTACGATAGGCCAGCTAACTGTAGGTACATACAAACATTGCAAATTTATTAAAAGCTTGTAAACATCAGAAATACCTACTTAAACTTTTTGCCGGGTATAGTTCGGTTTCGTTTCGTATTCAAGTTATTTTTGCTTGGTTGTTTTACAAAGGCTGAGGAAAAGTAACTCCATATTTACCTTGATAAAGCAGAATCTTGCGTAGTTCTCCCCTAAGCTTTTGTGCGCTTCAGAATAGAAGGCGGTAGGCGGAATGGTGAGAACTCCAGCTTCCTTAGCGAATTTCTTGGTGAACTGGTAGTCTTTGTACTTGTCCGGTTCTGAAGATAGATCTATCTTGTTGGCTGCAAGAAAATTGTTTCAGTCAGATGTATAGGTATAGTCTAGTGTTCTCAAACATATATTATTATTGCTCAACCTAACTTATATTTTTTTGCTACAGACCGTTAAACTTATAACTCTAAGTGGGCCGATACATGTATCCGGGAGTTTATAGCAACTTATCGCCGTCGACTTGTCTTGTCATACCCACCTATAATACTGTATTCAAATTCCTCTGAGGCAAAAGATAAAAAAAACAATTGTTCTAAAAAAAATTTATCGAAAGCAAAGATGGTCGGTGTAACCAGTCTGATTAAAAAAATTCACATTTCAACTAAAATCATTTGCTTTATCTTTACTTTTCAAATTAGTAGAATTACAATACGTCCAAAGTTTGGGAATGGCTATAGTTTTAGCCCTTTTTGTATATGTCACTTTCTTATTATAATTTTTATGTAGGTAAGTATAAAATTCGATCTATTGAAAAACTTTTTGTGTCTATAGAAAATGTTACTAGAAAAAATTTCACGTGGACCAGACAGCAGACGGTCCGCGAGGAATATCTCCTAGTGACATTTTCATTAGATTTAACCCCTTACCGCATACGAAGCCATTGGTGGCTCTAAAACTTTAGAATTCTATTTTATTTTTATTTCAAAACAATTGTTATAAATATCTTATAAATATTTTCGTGTAACGGAACGTATTTTTTATTGGTCTATGGTTGGTGACATTTGTCAAAATATTTGAGGTTATGTGCAGCGCGGCCCACCGTTCGGATGCAGAAATGTAATGTTAATTTTATTTGTGAAAAGAAAGTAATAAATCGGTAAGTTAAAAATCCTAGAATTTTATATTGTGATATATATATGTGCTATAACATGAAACAGGTGCTTTTTTGGTATTTTATTTTGCTTTACTTGACTTATGGATCCTTTTTTGAAATTGCCATTTTTGGTTTCGTATGCATTCACGTTAACATTTCTAACGCTCATATATGGCTTTGTGTGTGTTCATTTGCCTTTTTTCTTTCTTTGAAACAATGAATCCTTCTCGCTTTTATGGTACTTCCAAGCATGTTAACCCTATTCCTGGCGATGGCGAAAAAATCACGGAAACCTCCAGCCCGGCACCAGGACTTACCGTTAGACTCTGTTCGTTCAGACAATTTGGACCACTTTCCCGAATGGAAACAAAATCGACAATTATGACAGAGATGTTCAAAATATCGATCATTCACTATGTGTCGAAAGTGTAGAGTTTATTTGTGTTACAATGATAAACGTAACTGTTTTAAATATTTTCATAAGATATAAGTTTCTATAATGTTTCTAATGCATACGAAGCCATATATGGATATCTATTATTTCACTAGACTGCATACGAATCCATATATGGCTTTGTGGGCTAAATTCCAAAATAAGTAAAAAAATTTTTTTTTCTTATATTATTATTAATTTCTTAATTAAGACTAATAAAAGATACAATAGCTAAAATTTTTGTTTTATTTCATCCGTTTTATAATTCATGCAATAAGGGGTTAAACATCTACCAATTAAATTCTTAAAAAAATAACTTTTTTACGATTTGCATTGTCACGAGCCAGGGCGTTTAAATGAAACCAACTCTTGGTGTGAACAACAAATTTATTTGGGCGTGGTTCGAAGTGCCCGGGTAAAAAAAAAACGTTACAGTATTTGAAAGTTCTTTGCTTTCCCGGCCAGGGTTGGTACTCTCCTGGTAGTTCCGCCGAAGAGAAGTCCGGGCCCAGAGAAGATGGAGATGGTCACGAAGCGGTGGTCGTACTGGTCGACAGTGAAGTCCCGAAAAGAAGTCGGAAGTCGTCGCCAGGCGATGGGGTGACCGTGACGGGATGGATTGCTGGTCGTTGTCACACGATGGTGTACGGTGGACGCCACACCATGGACCCAATACGTGGGTTAATGCACTGAGTGTAATGATTAATTATCTTAAACAATTATTAAGAAATAATAAAAAAAATATAAAGATCGCGCGTTGTCCGCAAGGTCGCTGGGAGCACAGAACGAGCGCGTGTCTGCTTGGAGTTCAATTTCGGAGTGTGAGATGGCCGGCCGCGCCGCAGCCAGCGCGCGGTGCAGTTCGGGGGGGGAGGAACTCAACAAACGAGTCGCCAAACTTGGAAGCGCGCGTGCAGCGAAATTTCATTGCCCGATGTTAAATGAATTAGGTGTTTATAAACAATAGGTATTCAAAAAAACTGATTTGTGTAAATAATGTACAATTTAAGTTAATAATATTAAGCGTAACTTAATTTTTAGGTAGAATATTATAAGTTTTAATAAAATAAATATGTAACAACGTTACAATACCCCCGCGCGCAGTGAAGGATTTTATTGTTTATAGAGAAATAAAATCCGTTTTGGAAAATGTGAATGTAGTTGCTTAACCTAAACATAAATCATCTTTCATATTATTATTTTATCATTCTTCTATCATCATTCTTCTAACTATTAAAACAAAGTAGGTACCATACAAAGGATGTTACCGACTCCTACAAGCAATCCTGAAGACATCTAGTTTAATGAACTAGAAACTTGGCAAATACTTATATCCAATAAGTTAGTTAAGTGCGCGACGCGAGATATAAAGCTACTGTTGTACATAATAAACCAAACAAAAATATATAAAAAGAAAAAAAACTACTTATTGACACCAACCAACTTCAAGTCTTTAATGTGCCAGGTGCCTAGATCTTTTCCAGTCATATCCTGCAATACATATACCAATGGTGACTTTTTAATTACTATTTTAGCTTTAATAAACTTCGGAGCCAATTTCTTTGAAAAACAGTTATCTTTGTCGCTTAAAAAGTAAGCACGCTTCATGACTATGTCACCAACGTTGAACTCGGCAAATTTCCTTCTCAAATTATAATGAGAAGTATTCTTCACATGGGCTTGCCACAACCGTTTTTGCACTTTATCGAAAACACTAGATAGACGACCTAGATTTTCGGCATAAGCATCACGTGGTAAAATTGATAAATCATTACCGAGGTCATTGTCAACGTAATGTGAGCCACAAACGACTAGCTCCCTACCAAAAACTAAAAATGAGGGTGTATACCCTGTCGCTTCGTTTACGGAGTTATTTATAGCGAATTGGACTTCAGGAATAAACAAGTCCCAAGACCTATGATCGTCGTCTACATACATAGATATACAAGTAATTATTGTTCTATTATATCTTTCCACTAGGTTAACTTGTGGGGTATACTTAGGTGTATAATGCACGTTAGGTATATGATATTTATTACAGAGACTATCCATGAGCTTGCTTGTAAATTGGGTGCCGTTATCCATTAAAATGGTTTGTGGAACACCATGTACGAGAAACACAGATTCCTCAAGGATTTTTGTAATTACATCTGAAGTCGCTTTTTTAATAGGAAATATCAAGCAATATTTCGAAAAACAGCAAGTAACGACGAAAATATAACTATTACGAAGTTTTGTAGTGGGGAGAGGCCCCATAAGGTCTATGGAAATAGTTTGAAAAGGACGTGAACAACTTTTAGGACGACCCATTTCTCCTAATAGTTGATGATTTTGTGATTTATATGAAAGACACTTGTCACAAGAATCTATATATTTAACTACATCATTATACATGCCAGGCCAATAATAACGTAAGGCAAGACGTTTGTATGTTTTGAATATGCCCAAATGAGCAGCGGTAGGCTCACTATGGTTTTCTTTAATAATATTCTCACGGAATTCAGAACAAACTACTTCTTTCCATGAGAATTCAGAAGTTAACTCGTGTTTGTTTTTAGATAAACGGAATAATGTATCATTTTTAATAATAAAATTTGGAAAATTTGCAGGGTCATTTAAACAACCGAAATATAAATTTTTGTACCAAGCGTCTTTAGAGTCCAAATAAGAGTTAGCAGTTGAGATGGCGTTACATGGGATTCTGGAAAGGGCGTCAGGAATCACATTGTCGGAACCTCGACGATGTTTGATGACAAAGTTAAATGCCGACAAACGTACTCCCCAACGAGCTAACCGACCGGTCGGATTACTAAGAGAGAGAAACCATTTTAGCGCGCTATGGTCGGTATAAACTGTGAATGGCTGACCGTTTTCAATATAACAACGCCAATATTCAAGCGCAGTTAGAACGGCTAAGGCTTCGCGTTCAGTAATGCCGTAGTTTTTCTCAGATGCAGTAAACGACTTGCTCATATACGCAATAGGATGTTCCTTGCCATCGATCGTTTGGGTAAGCATAGCGCCAATACCGTAACTACTAGCATCGGTGTGTACTTCGAATGGCTTAGTATAATCTGGACAGGACAAAACTGGGGCAGAGACTAAACACTCCTTCAGTTTTACAAACGCGGAGGCTGCTTCAGGTGTCCACTTGAAAGGAGCGGCGCCTTTCCTAGTTGAGGTCAATTTATTTAAGGGCCCAGCCACTGTACTAAAGTTTGGGACAAAACGCCTGTACCAAGTTGCGGTCCCTAAAAATCTTTTTAGTTCTTTCCGAGAAGTAGGTGTCGGGTAATTAAGAATAGCTTCAACTTTAGCCGGATCAGTACGCAAACCGTAATTGTCAACTACATAGCCTAAATACTTGAGTTGTGGCTTAAAAAAATCACATTTCTCGAGATTTATTGTAAGATTTGCTTGTTTTAACTTGTCTAATACACGTAAAAGTAAGGTCACGTGACTATTGAAGTCCTTGGAAACGCAAATAATGTCATCAAGATACGCAAAGACGTTGAGATCGAATTCGGCAAATAACATATCAACTAATCTCTGCTGTGTTGCTGGAGCGTTTGTAAGTCCAAAAGCGGTTCTTTTAAAACAAAATGTGCCTCTATTTGGGACATAAAAGGCTGTTTTTTCGCGATCTTCAGGCGCGATAGGAATCTGCCAAAAAGCCTTAGATAAATCAATGCTAGTTAAGTAGCGCGCATCTCTAAGGTTATCCAAAATTTCGGAGATGTAAGGTAAATTATAAGCATCCCGTTTAGTGACAGAGTTGAGTTTTCGGCTATCAAGACAAAATCTAGGTTGTCCGTTCTTTTTAGTCACGATTAAGACTGGAGAAGACCAGGCACTTTCACAGGGCTCGATCACGTCCAATGATAACATTTCGTCAACCTGCTCAACTAAAATTCGTTGTTTCTCAGGTGACAACCTATAGTAACGTTGACGGATAGGTTGAGAGTTACCAGTGTCGATTCGGTGAGTCATTAGATGTGTAACTCCAAGACCTTTTCGTTCAGCTGATATATTCTCAAACTGTTTAATGACGTTATCAGCTAATTGTTTATGAGAATCGTCTAAGTTTGAATAACTTTGAATGAAAGTTGGTTGTGAGTCAACAAGTGAAGCTGTACTATCAATATTGACACACATTTCGATACTATTAATGTACTTAGGGCACAGTTGAAATTTTTGCCAAAAGTCTACTCCTAAAATGAGACTTTGTGTAATATTAGGTACCACAAAAGCCTTCAAAATGTGAAATTGGTTTTCAAAATTTACTGGCAAGTTAACATAACCAATACCACTAATTTTCTGACCTCCGGCAGCCGTCACAGTAATAAAATCTTCTGTGATAATAGGCAAACCATGCTTTTCCAAAACTAAATGAGCTTCGTTACCAAGTATGGTGACTGCGGAGCCAGAATCCAAAAGTCCCTTAATACTCAAACCATTGATTTGTAAAGTTACGTAAGGCCTATTATCCATTTCAGTATTTTTGTTGAGAATTGTATGAATATTGTAAGAATTAAAAAATAATTTAATTGTATCAAGCCATTTCCGCCAGTCATCTTTATCAAAATTCTTATTCATACAACTCTCACGCACTAGTTTTTTGAATTGTCCCTCTTATCTTTTTGACAAATTGGACATTCAGGAGTCTTAAAACCTTTATGACCACAGACAAAACAAACAATTTCAGCCTTGTTAGCTGTACACTGTCTGAGGTTGTGAGTATCATTACGACAACGAGGGCAGTAACGTTTCATTTGATTGGAAGAATCTATAGCATGTATATAGTTATTAGGAGTAGAATTAGGTTTATATTTACTAAAAGTGCTATTTTTGTTACTGTTATATGAAGATTTCTTATTAAAATAATTATTGTTTTGTAAATAAGAAAATCTATTTGTATTAAATTTACTGTTATCATCACAATTTTGTTTTGATTGTGAAGCCCCAGAATAAGCAAACTCAGGTGCTAGAGTATTCTGTGTTAGTTTTGGAGGTTCTTTAAATTGAGAAAGACGCGCCTGTACACATTCGTAGTTACGACAAGCGGCTCTAAGCTCATCAATTGTCTTAATTTCCGAAAGGTTAAATAAAATATTTGCGTAACATGGACGAACATTATGAAGGATAATTTCTAATTGATCGGCTTCAGACAACCTTCTTGACAATCGTGAAAAAAGTCCAGACATAATTGACAAGTAAATCACTATATTTTCTGATTCTCCTTGTGTGCGAGATCTAATTTCAGAAAGTAGTCTGTAGTCATAATCAGACTGATCGAAATCACGTTTCAATAAAACTACAAGTTCGTCCCAACTAGATACGGTATCTCTAATGCTTCTAAACCAATGAATAGCATCCCCAGTGAAAATTTCAGTAGCATTGCTTAATATTTTATTGTGAAGAATACCTTTCGCTTTACAAAATTCATTAACACGCTCAACAAAAGCGCGCACACACGACTTACCGTCAAATTTTAATTTGGAAAAATTATTGGCACTATTGCCCTCGCAAGTGACATTAATGTTGAGTGGCAATGCTGAACTGAAGCTGAAGGCTGAAGCAGTCGAAGGTTCACTACCGGAAACAGCAAGTGCATCAAAAATTGTGTCCTTAAGCGAGTCCAACTTAGAAACTGCATTTCTGTATGAGTCATAGCAATCACTAAGCTCCTTTTTTAAAGCGTCGGTGCAAACGATACGGTTAAGCCGATGATAAAGATGATGTAATAAATTTTGAGTACGAAGCCAAGTGTTTTTATCGATTTGCGCGACCAAGTTAGAGTTAGCTCTCTCAAGGATGTCGTTAACACCCTTAAGATCCTCCGCAGGATCGAAAGGACTCGAAAGAATATCCTCCGAAGGATATAATGGCCCGCACTTAGCAATTTGTTTGCGCAACTCCTGAACAGTCGAAGCAGGTGTTTCGCCTCTAATGGTCACTTCGTACTCTAATTCGGTCTTTTGAAGTGACATAAATTTCACGGGGTAAGACATCATGAAGAAAAAAAATCTTAAATGAACAAAAAAAAATTGACAACCCTAAAAAATTGACAACCCTATCAAGGTGAATGTTGAACAAGTATGGCAAAAATAATACAACTACTCCGTCTGTTACAAAATCTAAACTACTTGTAACGCTCTGGTTGATATAAAAAAAAACTACTTATTACTACTAAAGCACTATACTACAAAGCGCTAAAAAACACAAAATTAAAATATCTAATCGCAACTAAAAAATAAAAAGCACAATACAAAAATAAAAATATGCAACTAATGTGTACGAACCCGTTGAAAATTTAAAAAAAAACAATCTATATAAATGAGCTGCTAACTGTGCTAAATAAGTAGCAAAAAGTTAAAGAAAACAAATAGTTGAGCAGCAATGGAAAAAAAAACAAACAATAGATTAGTAAAAAAAATGTACCACTTTTGTTGGTGACCGTAGTTTTAAAATTATAAATATGTAAATATAATAACCACGTTCGTACACCTTAGTTGCGGCAACCAAAAAATAAAAAGCGTTTTACAACAAAAAAAGCAACAACACAATGACACAGCATATAAAAATACCACCGGCACAGGAAAGCAAAAAAAATACTGTACCCTAGAACCACGTCAAAGGCGCCAGTGTCACGAGCCAGGGCGTTTAAATGAAACCAACTCTTGGTGTGAACAACAAATTTATTTGGGCGTGGTTCGAAGTGCCCGGGTAAAAAAAAAACGTTACAGTATTTGAAAGTTCTTTGCTTTCCCGGCCAGGGTTGGTACTCTCCTGGTAGTTCCGCCGAAGAGAAGTCCGGGCCCAGAGAAGATGGAGATGGTCACGAAGCGGTGGTCGTACTGGTCGACAGTGAAGTCCCGAAAAGAAGTCGGAAGTCGTCGCCAGGCGATGGGGTGACCGTGACGGGATGGATTGCTGGTCGTTGTCACACGATGGTGTACGGTGGACGCCACACCATGGACCCAATACGTGGGTTAATGCACTGAGTGTAATGATTAATTATCTTAAACAATTATTAAGAAATAATAAAAAAAATATAAAGATCGCGCGTTGTCCGCAAGGTCGCTGGGAGCACAGAACGAGCGCGTGTCTGCTTGGAGTTCAATTTCGGAGTGTGAGATGGCCGGCCGCGCCGCAGCCAGCGCGCGGTGCAGTTCGGGGGGGGGAGGAACTCAACAAACGAGTCGCCAAACTTGGAAGCGCGCGTGCAGCGAAATTTCATTGCCCGATGTTAAATGAATTAGGTGTTTATAAACAATAGGTATTCAAAAAAACTGATTTGTGTAAATAATGTACAATTTAAGTTAATAATATTAAGCGTAACTTAATTTTTAGGTAGAATATTATAAGTTTTAATAAAATAAATATGTAACAACGTTACAGCATACCCAAGTTAGTCCAGTCGGCGACAATGAAATACCCCCCCTCGGGCACGGTGGGGTTGAACCCATTCTCCTTAAGTATCTTCACGAGGTAGTCTCGCTTGGGCAGCAGCTCACGAGCGAGAGAGAACAAGTAGCACTCGGGGGAGTTGTACCGAGCCAGTTCGAACTCAAACGAACGCGCTACTGCTTCCTGGAATTGTCAATACAAGGACAAAAGCTGGGTGATTGAACCAAGGTACTTATATACTATCTGGAATGCTTATATGACCCTAAAAAGCGTTCCGAAGAGTAAACCTCAATTAGTGGAATCGGTCTTTTTCTAGTAGTGTGTCCAAACAGTAACATAAAAGATGAGATACATAATTATTTTTCTCTGGGTGAAGTAACCTTCTTATTTTCATTTCACATGTCACGTGACGCCACAAAATTCTCAATGCAAACGAATAGCCTTAGCTTACCTGTCCACCGCATCGGAGAAACATTGACCAATAGGATTGCACAAAATCTGTCCACTGTCAAAGAGCCGAGATTTGTGGAATCCTATTGGTTAATATTTCCGTTTCTCCGCTCCAGTGGTCAGGCAGCCTTAGTCCTCTTAAAAGTGCGGCCAATGCGATCCCGACAAGTCCTGTCAAATCCTTATGTCAATAGAATAAGAACAATTTCAATCTAGTAAAAAAAGGTGTACGAAAATAAACTCTAATGCCGTCACCTTAAGGAACTTGCACGACCTGCCAGGAGCATCTTTAACCTGTTTAACACATCATGGCAAATTTTACAATTGTTGGGCTTAAAATTCGGTGGTCCGTATTATCAACTGCCTTCGAAGGCAATAAAACGAGATTCATCCCATACAATAATGTCAAATTGATATTGACGTCTTGACGTTTTCCTATGGGTTAAAACTAGTTTTGGTTAATTCGAGATTTAGTAAATTCGCTGCAAGTGTGCCTTAGTACAGAACCTAGATTCACTGTGAAATTTGTCATGCCAACACCCTTATGTTCAGCAGTGGGCGTCTTACGGCTGATATGATGATGCCCTACCTGTATAGGTGTAACAGGTGTAGACGCAGTTCTAGTGTACGATCTGATAACGTCTTACCCGCGGAACCCACGGTTATAGTGTGATCCCCCATATCCGACAACGTCTTACAAACTGCGCTAAAAAGTAGTTCCACGCAAAGTGGGACCAAATGGGCGAGGCGAAAAAAGTGCGATCGACAATCGTTTCTCTATTAGCACGCGAATTATATTTAATACTTACCTGTTAGTGGCGCAGGACCATAGTGTGGAGATCCTTGGAGGTTACCTATGTATTGACGTAGGAAGGGATTTCTCCTAGAGGGAGGGTGGCTCCATATATTTTCTATTATCTTTGGTTGATACCAATACATTTAAAGTAAAAAAAAGTAAGCGCGAATTATAGAAATACCTACCTGTACCGGCGTAGAGCAGATGTAGACGCAGTTCTGGTGTACGACCTGATAACGTCTTACCCGCGGAACCCACTGTTATAGTGTGCTCCTTCATATCCGGCAACGTTTCTACCAATGAATTCAGAATTATATGGAAAACGAACTGCGCTAAAAAGTACTTCCACGCACAAAGTGGGACCAAGTTGGCGAAGCGAAAAAAGTGCGATCGACAATCCATTTCTCTATTAGCATAGGAATTATACTAAATAACCACCTGCGAATGGCGCAGGACCGTAGTATGGAGATACTTGGAGTAGACATATTTATTGATATAGCTAGGGATTTCTCCTAGAGGGAGGGCGGCACCATATCTTTTCTAATATCTTTGGTTGCTAACATTTAAAGTAAAAGTAAGCGCGAATTATAGAAATACTTACCTGTATGGGCGTAGAGCAGATGTAGAAGCGGTTCTGGTGTTAACCTAATACGGTCTTACCCGCGGAATTCACGGTTATAGTGTGCTCCTTGTGAGATCCTTGGAGAAGACTTATGTATTGGCGTAGGTAGGGATTTTTAGAGAGGGGGGCTCTATATATTTTTTTAAATTCTTTGGTTGCTACCAATAAAGTTAAAGTAAAAACACCTACCTGTATGGGCGTAGAGCAGGTGTAGACGCAGTTCTGGTGCACGACCTGCAGGTTCCGCATGAGATTGGAGGGCGCATACGCCCAGCCGGTCTTCCAGCCGGTCACCGAGAAAGTTTTGCCCGCGGAACCGACGGTTATAGTGCGCTCCCACATACCAGGCAACGTTGCTGGATAATAAAGGTTTTATTTATTATTTAAAATAAAAAATAAAACCTTGAATCCAAAGAAAATTTTGCTAGAAAAAATTCTACGCAGACCCGGCAGCAGACGGGACTCGAACCCTTCACCCTTCCACCCCTCGCTATCCGGGCGAATTCACTGACCATTATGCTACCGCGGCCCTGATGGCCGTGTCAATTTTTTTATTTTTTAAGCATGTAACTGCTCGATTTTTAATCTAAAGAAAATATAACTAGAAAAATAGTAATAATCTAGAAAAAAAGTAAACACCTATACGATTAATAGGGATGACGACTAACTTTTTTCTTCGTCTATAAGGTATAGACTACAAGCCAGTGGTAAAAATTGATGGGTCATTTGAACCACCAGAAGACCTATTTAGAAAGATAGAAGGACATTAAATAATAATAATTCAAAAGTACAGATAGAGTGTACCAATTTTGACCAAAATGTACTCCATTTTGGTCATATATTTTTGTACGGCATTCTAACCATCGATAGATCCATGAAAAATAATAAGAAAACACGTAGTGCCGTACAAAAAATAGTGCACCACAAAGTCGTGAAAATTATTGATTTTCCGATGATTTTCAGGGTAAATTTGGGCATTTAATTCTGTACATCATCCGTTCCGTACAGTTTCAATACCTATTTTAATTCACTGTTTCGCAATGCCGTACAAAAATCATGCGACAAGGGGGAAAATCGAGGGTTGCAACTCCCTGCCCTTCCATGGTGGGGGGGTGATTTGAAAAAGTACGACACCGGTTCCAAAACGTTATGTAGCGCTCAAAAACACTTAAAAATAATGCCGTCAAAAAATTATTGTTCATTTGAATGTATAGCAATAATTATTATCTTTATTTCATCATATATACTCATTTATAAAGCTGTAAGGGCATTTGATCATGTACGGCAACTTTTTTTTCTAATCACTTCTGTTGTGCGACTATCAAAACCTGTTCTTTTCTTTATTTTAAAAAAGTACAAACTGAAATCAATAACAAATACTCAGGTCAAAGTCAAAAGATACGACGGTTTCGCTAAATTAGGTGCCAAAGATGAGTCACTCACCGATCCGTATATGCTTCTGCGGTTCGTACACCATCCACTCGTAGACTTCATCACTGATGCATAGCACATTGTGTTTCTTGCACAGGTCTGCTATCACCTCCAGTTCGGAGCGGGTGAACACTTTACCAAGGGGATTGTGTGGTGTGTTCAGTATCAACATCTTAGTCTTAGAGTTGAATAAGGAAGCGAGTTCTTGCTCGTCTAGCACCCAATCGGCTGATGTCATGTTGTCGCTTTTGCATTTCTGTACGAATAAAACAGTAACCTTTGGATAAAATTCTATAAAAGGAGGTTATGGTACTATTGGATCAAATCCTGCAGGCCTATTAGGCAAGTTGTGACCGCAACGCGATTGAATTATTCTGTTTTTGAAGTAAAACTTCTTAAGACACGCTTGACTTGGGGGGTAAACTGGCGAATGTGTGATGATTTTGCGTTACGCGCGCACTCATTGGTAAACAATGAACAATACCCGTCATAAAATACATGAATCTAGTGCTTGGTGGGTGATAACGGACCCAGGGCGGATTGGTGGGTGATAACGGACCCAGTGCGGATTGGAGGGTGATAACGGACCCAGCGCGGATTGGTGGATGACAACGGACCAAGTGCGGATTGGTGGCTGATAACGGACCCAGTGCGGATTTGTGGGTGGTAACGGACCCAGTGCGGATTGGTGGGTGATAACGGATCCAGTGCGGATTGGTGGGTGATAATGGAGCCAGTGCGGATTGGAGGGTGATAACAGACCCAGCGCGGATTCGTGTTTTTTTCTCTATAAACAATCTTCAGGTTAGGTTTATGATTTTCAGATCCAATGAGCTAAATTAATTTCACTTCAGTCGTCTCAGCTCTTAACATCGCTTATAAGGTTGATATTATATATATTTATTTATATGTGATTGTGTGTATATTTAGATAAGTATGGTCGTATGTATAGTTAAGTGTTAGTATATTTGCTCATTGTTTGATTTTAATCTCTCTTCTTTGATTGCCGTTTTTGTTTTGACTTTCCGGTTGACTGGTAGAGAATACCATTATTGGCATTTGCAGTGTAAAGGCAATAAAGATTAAACAAATAAATATTTGCTTATAATCGAATACTCCTCTCCGTTATCGCCCTTTATAGACACTTACCGGTTTCAGAGCGATGAACTTGGGTACACCACCGGCCGAAGTTATCATGTAGTCGTAGCAATCGAAGAACGGTTCTATCACGATGACCTCGTCGCCTGCGTCCACATGACCTGCAACACTAATTGGTATCATACACACAACATCTATCTGTGAATAGATAACGGAAACAATTCATAATTAAAACTTTTCAGCCGTAGTACAGAGAGTGTATATCCGCTATCCTAACTAATATTATAAATGTGAAAATGACTTTGTTTGTTTGTTACGCTTTCATGCCTCAACCACTAAACGGATTTGGATGAAATTTGGTACGCGCATAGTGCATGACCTGGATTGAGACATAGGATACTTTTATTCCGGAAAAATGATGGGTTTCTGTGTATTCTGTCTGATTCTGTTGCGGGCGGCTGCTAGTGTATATTTAAAATTGTAAAGGTCTCAATTCATGCTCCATGGTTTCCCTGGGTGAAGCATGAAGACCTCCTGATGCTCCTACTATTGATATTCTGTACTTTCCTTAATGCAATTATTAATTCAGGTCCTACAATGGTATAGGTAAGAATAAACTATACGAAAACCATGTTTTATTTCAAATAAACATTGAAGGCTATAAAACTATGCATGTATCGGAATATGAATAGCTTGCTAGTATGCATTTAGCAGGTTGTATTTAAGGCAAGGAAAGTGAGCTGTGCTGTGGCCCAGGCGCCCACAAGTGAGGAGCCCGCACAACAGAGATAAAAAAATGGCCTGGAGTGCCAGACTTTAAAATACGACTTCATTATGGCCCTATGTTTATATCCCTATGCTGGCACTCAGAAACAATTACCCAATAGTTAATTTCTTTGTTATACTATATCAATAGGCATGTGCCATAGATATCATACTAATATTATAAAGGCGAAAGTTTGTGAGTGTGTAGTCACACACTCACAAACTAAACAAACAACACAGTCGTGTATTTGTTACTTCTTCATCTCTAAACGGCTGGAGCGGTTTAAATAAAATTTGGTATGGAGTTAGCTGACACCCTGGATTAACATATAGGCTACGTTTTATTGCGGGAAAATATCCCTAATAAACCGCGGGTAACGCTGCGGGACACAGCTAGTGGATAGTAAATAGATAATATTTATGGCACAGTCACAGTCACATAACATAGAACCAAAGGCCCAAAATAGCGGCATTTTTATTTGAAAAATTAAAAAAATGTGTTTAATTTTTTATTATGGATTCTTGAATTTGATATTAGTGACATATCATTTGAGTATTTTACGTACTTATAAACAAATGGAAAAATAAAATATATATTGAACTATGATCTCACTATTTTAGACCCTATAATATGCCTTCCGTTCCGAACCACGACATAAATTTCTTAATTTTGTTTAGTTACTCAAACTGCCCAGTTACCTAGAATAGCAGAGAAAAGAGCTTCGTAAGCTCCACTTGTGACCAATATCTCATTGAAAGGGTCCAATTCCCTTCCAATTAATGGAGAATACAATTTTGCCAAGTTCTGTACCAATCTTGGGTGTCCCTAGAATAACATATAATTATTTAAATCAAAAAAATATAAGAAATTAAAAAATTAACATTACAAGAATTAAGAAACTAAAACTGTAAAACTTAATGAGAATAGAATTTATAAACTTAGCAATTTTTGTTAGCAATGTGTAGTGTTAACTGTATTTGTTTTGTTTGATAATGTATATCACATCACTAGATACTGAGATGTAATAAATCATTACTATGTCATGTCTAGAGATAATTAAAGACTACATATAATCATGTTATTAATGTTGAAGTAAAGGAAAGAAATGAGATTTAAAATCCCCTTTTTAATTATAGTACTATTTCATTATCTCACATGTCTACAAGGCCAGAAAATATCATTGTAACTCATGATATTATAATCATAATAATAATGCATTATAATAATTTTCACTTCCCATTAACCATTTTAAACAAATTATTTCTTATTATCTTATTTAATTTCAGTAAATGTTTCTATTGTTAGCAGGTGTGTAGTATATATATATATATATATATATATATATATATATAACTGTTGAGGTGTTAAAATTGAGCATACAATTTTTTAATTGGAGGTATTCTATTAGGCTGTTTAATATCTATTGCGGTTTTTGTTTATTTAAATTTAAAACAGTTCTAGATTACATTGTTAGTATCGTTACTACGTCATAATAATATATCTAACTGCTTATAATTTTATAAAATTGTAAACAATAAACAAAATAAATCAATAATCAATTATTATCGGTACTAAACTAAAGACCGTCTCTAAACTTTGATCACAATATATATGTATATATATATATACATATACTACACTACACACCTACTAACAATAATAATATATCAATTTACTTATTTTTACAAGAATCCCTTGTTAAAAATAGATCTTGAATTTTATATTTGTTGAAAATGAGGTGCGTAAGAAGTGTAATAGATAAAAATACTCCTGAATATGAGTGATGTCTTATCTGTAGTATTCTTGTGAATTATTTATCGTGATTTTTATCTCATTCTCTCAAATAATGATGCTCGAGAAAAATACAACAGCAAGTGTTGACTAAAGATGTGGAAAGTAGATAACATGAAACATTATTCATCCTTTATAAATTAATTCAAAAATAGGCAGCAAAACTGTACTTACAAATCCTCTTGTATATTGGTTGAGAAGAGGATTATCCCCTGTAGCTATTTCAGCAAGAGCTTTAGTGACATGTTCTGGAGGGGGGTAATCGGGAAAACCTTGGCCTAGGTTCACTGCCGGCTTATATTCAGCAGCCAACTGGATATATTCCACCCTGGGAATGGAATTCAGATGCATTAACCATGAATCCGTTCAGCAGTTCGCACAGCTCACTATTCACTAAAAAAAACTACTACTCTGTTCTGTCTACTCTGTTAAGTGCAGAACAACAAAATCTCTGTTGAGGAATTTCACCGGAGCACCGTGATTTGATAAGTAGCTCATTTTTATCACTCTTAATTGTGAAATTACTATGGAGCTTGACAGTTAGATGAGATAAAAAAGTGATTAAAAATATAATTTTGTTAGTTATCCATTCTGCAATAATAAAAATATAGAATAAAAAAACGTTAACTTTCTAAAAACAAACATATTGAAGTTGTAAGAGATTACTTGACATTAATTTATTATTATTTATTCAACTTTCTAGTTCAATAAGATTCATTTAAAGTAAGTAAGTAAATGTTTATGTTCATTATAAGCAGAAGACTTTTTGTAATGTTTAATAACCTTAGACTTTGACTGCCTTATTATAAAATATAGACTATAATTTTAGTACCTTTTTCTAAGAGAAAACTTTTTTAACAAAACACAACTTTACAGGCTTTTTTGTTATTACCCTCAGATTCTTATTTTGATTACCTGTTATAATTACTTTGTAATACTGAAAACCCTGAAATTAATGTAATATATAAATGATATAATCTTGTTTTCATGATGTAACATATTTTCTATGTTTTTGCCAAAGTTGGTAGTAAGTAGGTTGTCACAAGTTCCACATCAAGCAATTTATGATTTGTATGAGATATCAAAAAAATTATTTGTAATTATGGATCAATGGATAACTTTTTTAAACCAAATAGAAGGATTGGGTTATGCAACACCATAAAACTTGTTCATATGCAAACTTCTCCCAAATATGTAAATATTAAGGTGAATATAATATAAAATTAAATGTCAACTTACCATACACTTTTTTCGCCGGTACCATAGCGAGCAGGCAATTTAAATTTATCTGCCATTGATGAAGAAAATCTCGAGTGCTGCTTCAATATATCGCTTGCTTGCACTAGTTTTATCACACCACTTCTGCCTTTAACGACACAATGCAATGTGTGTCTAATATGTCCCCAACTAAACATCGTAATGATAAAGTTAGTTACAGCAGCGGAAAGATATTTTATAAACTATTGACATAAACATGAGCAGTGTACGGACCGTCAATGCGATAAGCCGACCGTGTGTCGTTTTACGTCATCAAACAATGTTATCACTTCATTTACAAATAAGATTCTATTTAAAAAAGTTGTGTTTCACATCACAACCGCACTTTGACCGCCTTGAAGACTTTTCCAATAAATTATGTTAATGGTAGGTAATTGTATAATTATTTTCAAATGTCACAAAGTCAGCTGTTGCTGTATGTCAATGTCACAATTGACTCGCCTGTCACAACGGGGCCGCGTTCAAAACATTCGATCAACAATAAACCTTTCAATCGAAATGGACATTGGTTTCGATTTCGACATGAACCTCTAAACCTTAACTTAAATTAGACTAAAGTGTATCAATACACGTCGGCGGATGCGTCCGCGGACACACGCACAACACACACGCACGCAACATTAAAAAATGGGTGCGTGTACTTATGTAGGCGCGTGAGAAGTTATCCTTCTTTGGCATCGTTTAAAATTAGTTTTTAATTGCATGCAAATAATTAATTACAATAAATTAATAAAAAGTCTGGAAAAGGACACAGTCAATAAAGTTCAGTTTTAATTTGAAAAAATAAATAAATAATCAAAATATTCAATTAAAATCGCTACTGAATATAATTTATTAGAACATATGTGATTTGCACTTGTATGAAACTCAAACACGTATTCCGAATATACAAACTAGAAACATGTGGATAAATATTATAAATATGAATACCTATAACTGTTACTTTATTACAAAAAATAAAGATGTGGTTTTTGGTTCTACTACACCAATGGTCAAGAGATGGCGCTGTAGTCTCCTGAATCGCGCTTTGGTTCCGTTGTTCCAGATTAATAAATACTTTTGATATTATAAATATGAATACCTATAACTGTTACTTTATTACAAAAAATATAGATGTGGTTTTTGGTTCTACTACACCAATGGTCAAGAGATGGCGCTGTAGTCTCCTGAATCGCGCTTTGGTTCCGTTATTTCAGATTAATAAATACTTTTGATAGGCCTTCACAATGCAGTCGTTAGCACCCACTAAATAGAGATTCTATTTCTATTTTTTTGGTAGATTTTCTTAATGTGCGGTAAACACAAAAGTAACAGCATGAAGTTGGCCGCTAAAGCGACCAACTTCATGCTGTTAAAATTTTGTGTTACAGTGATGCGCGCGCATCTTAAAATTTCACTCTCATCATTTTTTCATAACGCGCCTAAAGAAGTATAACTTCAAAAAATAAATATTGAGATTATTTGCTACCACAATTATTTATTAACTAGCAAACCAGTGAACCAAATGTTCACCAAAACCTGATTTAAAAGAAAAAAAATGTATTTAATTAATTGAGAACTTCGGAGATTTTTTTTGTTTTCTTTTGAAATTCGTGATTTCTTGAAAACCGGAAGTGCTACGTTACTCAAATCCGGTTTGTAGTCTTATCAGACTATTCTAAACTTATAACTTAAATATTCTCTTTATCTATCTCTTACGGTTTGGCCGCTGAAACAGCACCACAGACAGACGGACGGACGGACTTGTCTAATAGATAAGAGATTTGGCAATTTTAACTACTACTTGAGGTACATCCCAGAATAATTTATTAAAAAGAAATAGAAAAGAAAAAGGTGACTCCTAGCTATTTTTCGAATTCCACAGGGGGCCACGGGATTGCTATGGCTATCGCTTAATATTTCATTTTGTTATTTCTTACCGCCGAAGGTTTTCAAATGCCTCGCGCTCGTTCCTTTTGTTTTGCATTGGATTACCAATAATAAAGAAAATGAGCGTGAGGTAAGTATTTGGAAACCTTCGGTGGTCAGAAATAACAAAACGACAACGTAACCGATAGCGATAGCCATAGCAATCCTGTTAGGCTATTAACCCCCAGGGGGCCAATCGCCTAACGGAAATGCTTTGGAAAACGCTAACGCTTACGATTTTATTTTGTTATTTCTAGCCGCCTGAGGTATTCAAATGCCTCGCGCTCTTTCTTTTTCTTTTGCATTGGTAATAACAATATTAAAAAAAATGAGCGTGAGGTATTCGAAAACCTCAGGCGGCTAGAAATAACAATATAAAATCGTAAGCGTTAGCGTTCCCCAAAGCATTTCCGTTAGGCGATTGGCCCCCAGGTGGTTTTCTGCTTGAATACTACTCATGGAATTGAAATGTTTCGTAAAAACTTATAATATTAGTTATTTCGGCGAACGAGATTAACAAAGAAGCAAAAAATAATTGGACGCGTCCTTGCATTTGCTACTCCAGTAATACTGATGCGTCCGCCGAGCCGACGTGTGCCACAAAAACCGCCAACTATCGGATTGATGGTGCGCAAACTATGCAGATGGTATCTGCAATTCTGCATCCGTGTAGAGGGGGCATATGTTCTGAACGTAGCCACGTCAACTTTTTCTTAAGTTTTCTACTCTTTAAAAGTTAAAGAAGTTAATGGTCATACAGCCATAAAAAGACGTCTGTCAAAATCTATAAAAGTTTATTTTTTTAAATTAATCCTTATTTCGCCAATTATGTCATGCCATGCAAGAATAAAAAAAAATCGTTTCAATAACATTTATAGATTTTTTTGTTTGTGGAGTGAATAAAAGAGAGAAAATTGGAGTTGAAGTTATTTATAAATATAAAGTCATAAAAAATCTGTAAAAAAACAAATGGAGTTGGTTATTATGAAAAAAGAGCAATGTTATAAAGATACCTAACATCAACGAGTGAGTTGCAATTAATTTCATGATACTAGTTTGTTTTTGTATCGCTATTTTTTTATTTACATTTCAACAGTTACATTACTATATATGCCTAAAATATATACCTGTGTCTAAAATTTAGTTTTCACTTATAGTAAAAAATAAACGAACATTCGTTTCGTAGTATTTGTAGTAGTAATTGTATTCGCAACATTTTTGCATTGCAATAATTCAAATTAAAATTATTGTAATTTTAAAATTGTTTTCTTATAGGTAATTTATCTACAGATGAATTTATTATAATAGTAAATGCTTTGCTTGTTCTTCATCGTCGTTTCCTCATGGCTGAGGGTCCTGACCTTTCAGGAGAGCACATTTCACGAACGATCTCCAGGCCGTTCTGTGTTTTGCAAGACGGCTGCAAGTTACCATTCGTAGTTTCCTTAACTACGTCCAACCACCGGAATGGAAACCTGCCCCTACTTCTTCTTGCCTTCCTCGTTTCTCACGACCAGAAAGAAGCTTTTCAAAATTATCTGGGCTTCTCCTTGCTATGTGACCGAAGTATTTTGGAGGCTCTGTATGCAGGTAGAAGAGAGACGCGTCATGATACCCAGCTCCTTCAAGATAGATGCATTAGTTCTTCGTGCGGTCCAAGGCATGTGTAGCATTCTGCGCCAACACCACATTTCAAATGCATCAATCCTGGAACGGACGCGTGCTTTCAATGCCCTGGTGTCGGATGCCTACAAGACAATCGAGAAGACTAGAGCACACATCAGCTGCACTTTAGTGGATCGTGCTAACGAATGTGAGTAATCTGTAAAATAATAATTTTATTTTTTTGGTTTCCTGTCGTGGCTGAAACACAAACCGTGCGAGTCAATAAAAAAAACCTGCTTGGCGCGATTTCATCAAGCGTGTTTGACGAAAAAGCTGGCTCAATGCATTTTGCGAGAAACTCGCCAACAAACATATGAATGTGTCACACTCACCCCATATTCCAATGTCAATAAAAAGGAAAAAATATCGATAATATCGAGTTAAAATGGTCGATATATCGGATATCGATATTTTCCTGACTTCGATATAAATATCGATATAAATATCGATATTTCAAAAGACTTTGCATCCCTAGTTATACCTTACCGGACAAGTTCTCTGCTCTTACCGGTAAGTGCAGAGAACTTGTCAAGAACATTTTGCACCAAGAATATCAGATACCCAGGCACACCCATCTCCACCATCACCGCAAACATTTTGGCCCAATTTATACAATCAAAGGCTTTTGCGTAATCAATGAAGCATAACACCATTGGAACGTTGAATTCACGGCTTTTTTCGATTAACTGTCTCATATTTAATATTTGTTCACGAGTACCTTTGCCCTTGACGAATTCAGCCTGTTATCTCGCTATTTTGCCTACCCATATAACGTTCCAGCCGTTTGTTGAGGATATGTAGAAACACTTTACTGGCGTGGAGAAAGTGAAATGGTCCGGTAATTTGTACATTTCCGGGTGGATAATTTCTTGTGCAGCGGAATAACTACTGATTCTGTCCAATCCTCAGGGCAATGTCCGGTATCCCACACTTTTTGGCATATCTTGTGTAATGTTTTGATGCTATATGTACCTAGGCGCTTGATCATTTGCGCGATGGCTCCGTTGCCACCAGACGCTTTCAGTTTCAGCTGGTCAATTGCATTTTCCACTTCGCGTAACATTATATTGGGTTCCCTGTCAGCATGGTCATAGACCTCGTATTCATTTTTGGAATCGTCGCTGTACAGCGTCTCTTGTCTGTTAAGTGATTATGTGATTATGATTGGTGGAACTCCTTCAGTCTTCAATAGTCCAAAATTGAGGTTGGGACAAAACTTTCACCATTCTTAATTACCTAGTTTCGGTTTTGAGGTAGACCACGTAGCAAAAATTATTTAAAAATTATAACCTTCACGGCTACCCTTTTCTAAGGGCGCTTGGCTCCGGGCAGGGACAGTTGAGTTGAACTGTCGAAAATGAACTAGCATTATAATTTCGAACCCCATCCTGATACGTAACAATATTCATATCCTACTCAAGGAGCCCTACACAATGATGTATCATGTGTGTTAGACCCCCCATTAAAACAATGAAATTGAATTTTGAACTAAAAATTCGGCTTTTTTCTGTAACCCATTCCGTTTACGATCTGTAGACCCGTGACATACGGACGGACAGACGACAGAATGTCAGCACTTCGTTTTTACTAGACTTGCAACGGATAGTATATTCCGCAGTATACCGAATATTCGCGAGGCCTCTGACCAAATAGCCGAATATTAGGCAAAAGTATTCGGCTGGATTTTAGCACCAAAAACTTGTACAAACGTGATTGCTTCGCGCTCCTTTGTTTGCAATGCAATTCAGTCAAACGCAGTTTCAACAGAAATGGACCTTTTCTTAAATATTAGTAATATATCACGTCATGACAACCCGTATACATGGTGGCAGCAAGGAAATTTGAATTTCC